GCAGGGTCAACGGAACCTTTGACACGACTGATGTTTCTCCTAAGCAGGTGCCTAAACAATAGTTATAAGTTTAAGTGTGGTGGTGTTATATACTTAAGTATAAGTGTATTGTAAATAAATGAGCAAATAAAAAAGTTTGTTTCTTTTTCCTCCCTTCTTTCGTAAACAAGAGATAAGGCGTAAGCGTGGTGTCTGACATAAGTATAATAAAAGTTAATTTGGGGCTAAACTAAATTTGGGGGAGCATATGCTAAAGACAGGGCTGCTTCCCCCCTCCCTGTCAGAAAGAACGCCCAGGGCACATTCAGAGGTGGGGAACGTTGCATTAATTTTCCTGATTATAATGCTGGCACTTTTGTCCTGTTTTCTAACGTTCCTGTCACACTGCAGCAGCTGTTGAGTTATGGAAATGTGGCTTTCTGACTGATATATCAGCATGTTGCACTAAATATCATCCACACCAGCGGGTGTGGCATCACACAACAACAAATGTCATTGGACAGCGTTGCTACTCCCCTACCATTTCGGCACATGCATGCTTCTGTTCCCTTCATGATTCCCCCATGAAAATGGCAGGAAAATAACTGTATGCTGGTATTCTGCCCCAATTTTTGTCACTTTGCTCCCACCATTTTACAAGCAAAAAGGGGCTGCAAATGGATTTTTGCCCGAAGCAAATAAAATGTAAATGAGCACCAAGAATGTGCCATATTCCATTAGTTTTCAGAAAGGGGCATTTATGTCATGTAAAATCTCAGATATAATGCAGAAATGAACAGTTAAAAGATAATAGAGCAAACAGCTCTATTATCAAATAAATAGAGCAAACAGCAATGTCAATGCAGCCTCACCTCCAACAGCCAATTGCTTGGGGACTGCAGGTCTGAGAGGAAGCACCCTTTTTACCTCTCACACCAGCCAGAGGAACAAGGGTTGATAGGAAGTGGCATCCCCTGCCTCTTAGGAAAAAGATCACAAGACCTACCTGGTTCCATCCATGGGCCAAAGAAAGAGCAGATGTTTAACCAGTCATTGCCATAAGGAGCATTTGTCAACTATGTCTGTTGCCTTAGGACTGAATAAGTGAAATGAAGAACATTCTGGTCTCTGCCACCTACCAGATGGACAAGGACTTCTGGGTCTGTGGCAGCACCTCTGTCCAAACAAGACCCCCAGCAAGGCAAGACCAGCCTGGTCTCAACCAGATATAAGTGCCTGTTTGTAACCCATCTTTTTGAGAACCATGCGATGCAGGGGTTAAAGCAGGCATAGGCAAACTCGGCCCCCCAGATGTTTTGGGACTACGACTCCCATCATCCCTAGCTTACAGGACCAGTGGTCAGGGATGATGGGAGCTGCAGTCCCAAAACCTCTGGTGGGCCAAGTTTGCCTATGTCTGGGTTAAAGTGTCCAACTAGGACCTGGGAAATCAGGGTGCAAATCCCGTCAGCCATGAAGCCCACTGGGTGTGATCTTGGGCCAATCTCTCTCTCAGCCTAACCTATCTCACAAGGTTGTTTGAGGGTATAAGGGAGGAGGGGAGATGTGTATATGCTACCTTGAACTCCTTGCCTAAAAGGTGGGACATAAATGTAATAATAAGTAATAATAATAATAATAATAAATCTTAAAAATTAAAAAAAATTAAAAAGCAGAGACATCACCTTGCCAACAAAGGTCCGTATAGTTAAAGCTATGGTTTTCCCAGTAGTGATGTTTGGAAGTGACAGCTGGACCATAAAGAAGGCTGATTGCTGAAGAATTGATGCTTTTGAATTATGGTGTTGGAGGAGACTCTTGAGAGTCCCATGGACTGCAAGAAGATCAAACCTCTCCATTCTTAAGGAAATCAGCCCTGAGTGCTCACTGTAAGGACAGATCCTGAAGCTGAGACTCCAGTACTTTGGCCACCTCATGAGAAGACTCCCTGGAAAAGACCCTGATGTTGGGAAAGATGGAGGGCATAAGGAGAAGGGGACAACAGAGGATGAGATGGTTGGACAGTGTTCTCAAAGCTACCAGCATGAGTTTGACCAAACTGCGGCAGTGGAAGACAGGAGTGCCTGGCGTGCTCTGGTCCATGGGGTCACGAAGAGTCAGACACGACTAAATGACTAAACAACAACAACAACAATAAATCTAGCATTGTCCAGTTAACATATTTCTTCTCTGCATTCCCTTTTATTTTTTGTTTGAGCCTGTCTCTCATTTTTTAAAAATTGGTGTAAGCTACTTTTGAAAACAATATTTGTCTGAAAAGTGATGCAAAAATACAGGAAATATTTTCATGCTTCTCATTCCGTAAGCCAAACACTACAATGGCTGCATCCTGAATAACAATACATGAAACCAGGAGAGACTGGACTCAACTAGAGGGCTCTGTGTTCTTGTTGGTGACACAGCATTCCATTGCACCCATCAGCTCACATTTTGCCACTTCTCACAAATCCTATCTGACCAGAAGTTGTGTGCACCTGGTACTATGCAGTGGCAGCATGGTGCAGAATTGTTACAAGATGATCAGATTCTGGCACTGGGGAGCCATCCCAAGATTGTGGCTGGTGATAAAATGTCTCACTTGGATGGTAGATGTACGCTGCATCATACAGCTCTCCAGACTATTTGGAATAAAGTGCCACAGTTTAAACAATCTCCTTTCCCCCTGTAAAAATCATCCACCACTGGTGCAGAACCAGAGGCAATTGCTTTTCTCCTGTGACCACAGTCAATATGTGGTACTCTGTTTCCAAAAGTAAATGTTACTGAACTAATGTGAGGAGCTTTTTTTAGTTCCAAGGTGGCAGCATTAAAGCTCTCAGATCTGGAACTACTGAAGAACAAGGCATGGTTTTGTATATATTTGTAAATGCGAAGGAAAGGGCAACCTGTTTTTAAAATTGCAACTCCTTCTCATGCAAGTAACTATGTGGTCAGGGAGGCAAAATGTGACTTCTCAGTTGTACATCTTCTGGAAGAGAAGAACTACTCTGCTCTCTTTTGGATTGGGCTGTATTTACTTTTAGCAAACTGGGAAGCCAGTGCCATTTTAGCTGAGAAGGAATGCTCACATCTTGGAGTCTCCAAAGGAAAGAATCTAAACTACATGTGTGATGATCTCTGGAAGTAAAAGAAAGTGCTTCACACAGCACATAGTCAAACTATGGAACTCACTCTCACAGGAGGCAGCAATGGCCAGCAACTTGAATGGCTTTAAAGGAGGACTGGACAATAGGCACAATAGCTATGCTCAGTGGCGTAGCGTGGGGGGTGCAGGGGGGGCCGGCCGCACCGGGTGCAACATCTGGGGGTTAGGGTTAGGGGGCGCAAATCCACGGGTTAGGGGGCGCAAATTACTTGCCTTGCCCCGGGTGCTGACAACCCACGCTACGCCACTGGCTATGCTCTGCCTCTATGGATGAGTCTTTTGTTGGACTATCATCAGATTAAAAAATGAAAATGGACATTGCAGGCAAAATCAGCGAGCAGAACACTAGATTTCTGTTCAGTTCTACAAATGCTACATGATTCTCCCCTCCTGGTTCTAATATCATTAACTGCACTAGGAGTAAGGTAACCTATTTTGTGCATTTGCTTTTACAATGACATCAAAGCCATTCAGCAAGGGAGTTTGGTCTGGTGTTCATGGAGCTGCTGGACAGGCTTCCTTCTATATACTGACCAGATACCAACCTGCTTAGCTTCAAAAATGGAGCTGCATCAGGCATACTACAACTACTACTACTACTACTACTACTAATACTTTATTATTTATCCCCTGCCCATTTGGCTGGGTTTCCCCAGCCACTCTGGGCGGCTTCCAACTGATTATTAAAAACAATACAGCATCAGACATGAAAAACTTCCCTAAACAGGGCCGCCTTCAGTTGTCTTTTAAAAGTAAAATAGTTGTTTATTGCCTTGACATCTGCTGGGAGGGCGTTCCACAGGGCAGGCGCCACTACCGACTGCCAAAAGGCCCTCGGCGCTGGACCCCAGTGTCCAGGCTGGATGATGGGGGTGGAGGCGCTCCTTCAGGTATACAGGCATCTTCAGATCTTTCTCAGCCTACTGAGCTCATACCTAACCACTCTGCTGCATGGCCAAACTGCAAACTCATTAGCAGGGCTGCTCAGAAAGGTCAGTAGAAACAGAAAGAGCAGGGTGGGGAACCAGCGTTATTTTTGCATGTGTCTAGAGATCTAATCAACATCGCCCCCACCCCAATGCTACCCACATGCTGAGGGTAGTAAACACCTCAGCCATCATGATCCTTAAACAAACTGTTCACAGAAGAGCTTGTTCCAGATGCACTGTTCCCACCCACTCATTCCAGGATTGCATGCAGCCACCTCCTCTTTCCTTCTTCCTTTCCTCAAGCCTGATAGATTAAAAAAAAATGAGGATTTTGGTTGTTAGCTTGCACCTTTCTAATAATAGCCTTCTAGCCAGACCTTATCAGTCACAGCTTGGTAGGTCTGTTCAGCAGGGCTGCCTCTGTTCTCTGCCAGATCCCTTTTAAATCTCTCTTTATTGTTGCTATTTTTCTCAGATCACATTACTAAAAGCTGCAGCATCCCGGGGAGAGGATATCGAGGGAGACGAGTTGAATGTGTTTGTGCTGGAAAATATGGGGAGACTCACACTCACAGGCACGCTGCTTCCTTGTATCCTTCAGCCAGCCAAGAGTTAACAAAATGAAGAGCTCTCATGGAGGCAGAGGGTGTTCTCGGCAGTGAAAGGTGGATGTGTTACTGGATGTTAAGAGAAACGGTTCACTCATCTGTCCACCAGGAGCCTGTGGTTTGAGCTTTCCACGTTTGAAGATCCAGGCTTACATACAGCAAAACTTCCTTTTGCAAGCCTTATCTGTGCATCCAGCTGGGGAATCTTCTGCTCTCTTCACACATGGCTGGGATTTAACTGAGGAGTGGGGGATGCTGCTGTGAGGAGTTCCCCTTTAGATGGATTTTTGACAGGACTCCCTCAGGTTGTCTGGATGAATGAGTGCCTTTCAGAGCCGAAGAAGGTAAGCCTTCCCAGTGTTACTATAAGCATTCCAGTTAGCAACCCTAGGGACCACATACAATCCTGGCATTGTGCCTCTTTCACACTGGGGAGATTGGAACCGGTTCTCTCGCTACCCCCTGGCTGTGGAACCAGGTATATAACTTAATTGTTTTTAGTCTTTTTTTGCTATAAAAACAACAACAATCCAAAAAGCATGCATCATTTTGACAAGATATATATATATATTTGCATGGTTTAATCTGAGAGGTGCCCGTGTGGTAGTTCAAATGTCTTATCTAACATGTTTGTCTATTTCTGGAACCTCAAAGTTATTGCCAGACGTTGTGGTAAAGCTATTAACATGGACTTACTGCCAAAAAAATAAAATAAATAAAAGGTGTAGGATGACTGACTTTTATGTGTTTGCTGATGATGGTCTTGTAGGAAACAGGTGTAACCAAATGTCTGGTCCTCAGGTAAATTACCAAGAAACAAACATACTTGCATTTAACATTTAAGTAAATGGTGCAAAAGACTTGCTCCCACTAATGTCCTGACTTGAGAAACCAAGCTTTCTATAGTCTAGTTAATATTTCAGCTGTGCCTTTAAAGAAAAGGGCAAAAGACAGTTTATGGAGTTTCATGTTTTATACTTGAGCCCTTACAATATTGCACCCAAAAATGGATTGGATGTCCCAATATTTTTTTCAGGTAATTAAAGCAATCAACATAATAAGCCACATGTTAAGGCAAATACAGCTTAGTTTGCATACAACAGTGAAAGGTTTGGATAAAAAAGTGAAGTTTTTTTTGAGAATAGCAGCTTTCATCCTGCGGTGCTCTGAAAACATAGCAAAAATATCCATAATGAAGTGTTCCTCTTGTGCAACTCAAAGGTGATTCTGGCAGCGAAAGGTGGGTCTGTAAATGGATGTCAGAAAACAACTCCCTCTTCCGTCCACCACCAGCTTGTGGTCAGAGCTTCTGTATTTTGAGGATTTATGTCAGGCTGCATATAGAAAACTATTTGCAAATACATGAGCCTGAGGTATATCCAGAGTCATCTGCAAGATGTATTTTGGTTAAAGGGGTCAAGGGCCTAATTTTTGTGTGGAGGTTGGGCTACTCAGAAAACATGAAAGCAGAAGTCTCAGTTCTTAACAAATCAAGATAGGATTTCCAGTAGTTGTTGTCTGGGGGAGTTAGAGGGCTAAGCCATACACCTACATCTTTCCTTCCCTAGTTCCTGTCTCCTCTACTGTCAACTCATTTAACCCTGTTTTTTTTTAAAAAAGGCAAGCCATGCAATAGAGCAGTGTTCACAAAATTCAGCTGAGCAAATCTTTGGTGAAATTTTCAAGGTTTCTTTCCATGTAGTAAAAAATATCAAATATATATTTTACTGTGAGCTACATGCTCATTTTCAGTACAGTGAGCCTTTTTTTATATATAAAGAGCATGCACAGTTGGAATTTGCAAACCTGAACAGATGGATCTCTTTAGCTGAAACAAACATTTTAATGAATTCAGTAACGTGTTTTTTTGCATGGTTTCCACCCCCCTCTCCTTCCTTGTTCCTATTTCATCTAGAGTCGGGTAAAAATGTTTTGCAAATTCAGCAGCACACTTTGTTGGGATTCCTGGAAGAGATGCAGTCTCTATGAATATATAAAACACTTTCCCTTTTTGAGGTCTGAGGCAAACCCGTCAGTAATATATTTTTGCATGCAGAACATGCTGCTTGCTCCATACTGTTCATTTATTCTGCAAGCTGAGGATAGTTTCCCCCTTATTAGCATTGGGTGGTCAGATCACTCTGTTCCAGACTGCTCAGAGTTCAGCTGGGGGCAAGCAATGATAATTCGTATGCAAGCTCTGAAAGGAAGCACAAAGCAAAGAGTGGGTGCTTCACAATGGAAATACGGGTTACGTGTAAACACCTGGGCCCAGCATCCTCTTCCGAATGTATTTGGCAAGCTGCCACAGGTGGGATATGATTCAATCCTAAAACAAGTGGACCTGTCCTGTACAGTCAGGTCAAAGTCTATGTGTCCATGAGAAGACGTATCACAGTGTGATGCATACTCATCTGATCCTTCTGGTCCGAGTTGTTTTGCTAATGGCACTGAGTAAATGAATGACAGAAGTAGGAAAAAAGCTTACATAGATGGAAGAAAGAAGCTGAGGGGAGATGCCTGTGTAGGGAAAGAGCACACTATGACCACATTCACACTGTACATTTGAAGTCCTATAATATCACTTTAAACAGCCATGGTTTTTCCTGAAGATTTATGGGAGCTGTAGTTTGTTCAGGGTGCTGAGAGTTGCTAGAAGGTCCCTATTCCCCTTCCAGAGCTATGGACCGGTGCTTTCTAGGCACGGGACAAGCAGAGGTGTGGAAGAGCCCTTTGTATGTTATCAATGAAATTTTAAAAGAGAGGCCCACTGGTCAGTTCCCAGGCTATCTAAAGTGGTATCATGACCTCTCCAACTGATGCTGAGCAAAATGTTGGACCTTCGGCCCACAACTCCGAAAAGAAGCCAAATAAGGTTTCTCCTGGCAGATCGGGGCAAAGATATGTCTGCTTTAGTAGTTTCCTTTTTAGCCACAATTTTATCCAAAAGTGTTCCCAACAAACTATCCTTATGGGAAATAGACAGGGCGTAGCAGAATATCTAAATGCACACGACCATAGTGTGAGCTTATAACCCTTGTTAGCTTCACCCTTCTCTTTTTAATTATTCCAGTTACTTGAAACGTTTTATACTGTGATGCCAATAAAGGTATCTGATTGATGAAAGAAAGAAAGAAAGGAAGGAAGGAAGGAAGGAAGGAAGGAAGGAAGGAAGGAAGAAAGAAAGAAAGAAAGAAAGAAAGAAAGAAAGAAAGAAAGAAAGAAAGAATCATGGTGTTTTTAAATGTATGGTGTAAATGTGGCCTAAATCAGTACAAGGAGCTGAAAAGAAATACTGCAAAACTTAACAGAGGGGAATATTTACTAACTTCTAAAATAGACAGACTTACCTGTTTTTTTCCCCCCATAGAAAAGGGTATGTCAGCCAAGCAGCCTGGCCATTTGGCTGCCAAGCTGAAGTCTGTGGTTTGGGCTTTGTGTTCAATGGCTGCTTCCAGACCATTCAGCCTTTTACCAGGGCCCTGGTCTGTTTGCTTGGGGAAGCCAGAAGAGACCTGTGCTGAAAGCCATAAAACTGGTGGATTAGATCTTCAGTGTGAATTTGAACTGTGCTTTCTGTAGACCAGATGGTCTTACATATAAATTTAATTTCATGAAAACTGCCGGGAGATACAGGATTTTACAGTGAATTTCTTGCTGTCTCAACTTTAAGACCGTAAGATGAGCCTGCTGGATGAGGCCAATGGCCCATCTACTCCAGCATCCTCTTCTCATAGTGGCCAGCCAGGCACCCATGGGAGGCCTGCAAGCAGGATCTGAGTGCAGAAGCACTCTTTGCTTCCGTGGTTTCCAGTAACTGGTATGCAGAAGGATCCTGCCTCCAACTGCAGAGGCAGAGCTAGTAGCCATTCATACCGTTATCTTCAATGAGTTTGTGCAATCCTCTTTTAAAGCCATCCAAGTTGGTGGCCATCACTGCGTCCTGTGGGAGTGAGTTCCATAGGTGAACTATGTGCTGTGTGAAGACCCTGGGGAGGGTCTTCTCTGTGGTGCCCCCTAAGCTGTGGAACTCTCTACAGAGGAGCCTCTGGTACCTTCTTTATAGATGCACCTCCTGACCCTGGCTTTTGACACCTGAGATGTATATTTTTAGGATACACCTTAATTACGTGATTATAAGTTGTATTAAACTGATTTTAATATTGTGTTTTAATTGTAACCTACCCTAGGACCTTAGCAGCAAGGGTGGGCTGTTGTTGTTATTATTGTTTACTTACTGCTGTTTATGAGGGTGAGGATGTGTTCCATAATATATATGTGGACTTTGTAAAAAGGTAAAGGACCCCTGACAGTTAAGTCCAGTCGCGAATGACTCTGGGATTGCGGTGCTCCTCTCGCTTTACTGGCCGAGGGAGCCGACGTTTGTCCGCAGACAGTTTTTCCGAGTCATGTGGCCAGCATGACTAAGCTGCTTCTGGCGAAACCAGAGCAGCGCATGGAAAACGCCATTTACCTTCCCACAGGAGCAGTGTCTATTTATCTACTTGCACTTTGACATACTTTTGAACTGCTAGGTTGGCAGGAGCTGGGACCGAACAACGGAAGCTCACCCCGTCGCATGGATTTGAACTGTTGACCTTCCGATCAGTGGTTTACACCACAGCGCCCTAGTACCCCAGTAATGGGTGTCATTTGCCTGTAGTCTCCAGAGTCTGGAAAAACAGACAGCAGTAAGTGTAGTAGAGACAAGGAGTAATGGAGGCTTGACCCACACTATACCCAGGCCAGTGGATGTTCTAATCTCTACACAGGTTTGTTGTCCCCCACCCCAGCTTCTGTGGGCTGTGAAATAACCACCTACTTGCTCCTACCTACTACTTGCTCCCTCCTCTGCTGCCACCACACATCGTGCTGCATCTGCCACTGGCAGAGAAGCAGCACTGCCATTGGTGCTGATTTGGAGCAAGATCACACCAATTTGGGATGAAATTTCATCCCAAACAGATGCAATCTTGCCCAAAATTGGTGCCGGTGGTGGCGAAACCTCTCCGCAAGCAGTGGATGTGGCAGAGCAGGCAGGGCACCCATGGATGTGCTGCCTGGGAGGTTTCTGCCACCTGAAGCAATTGCCTCACCCTGCCTAATGGCTGGGCCGGCTCTGGGCACTATCCTACAAAGCAGTGCTATGGACTTAATTTGTGGCACATTTACTAACAATGGTTGACCCATAGCTGCTGTACGTATTCCAGCCGTGGGGAAAGAAGATGTATGTGGGGGGGGGGATATATTTTGTGCATACTTCTGCACGCCTGCCACCTTCACACACACATACACATGCACCCCACAAAAAAATACCTGCTGTTTTAATGCCAACATTTCCGGACTCCTGATGTCTGTCCACAATAAGCACCATGCCCTCAATCCTGGGCGGACAGCGCTTTGACTCAAAGGCACTTGCTGCCAACACAATGCAGCATGCAATCACCTCACCCACAAAATGGTTCCAGCAAGGTGCTTCGCTGTGCCACTTCTTCCATACATATTAGTCTGACACCAGGACAGCCTTGCTTCATGATTGTCCTTGCTGCACATACTTTCTGCAATGCTAAACACGATAAATGCATCACAGTTATCCTCTTCCCACGCTGTACCTGTGTTCTTCTGATTTTCACCTTGCTGCTGAGCCATGTGAAATCACAGTGTGTGAATTCATTGTAATTCTATTACCATGTTGGAGATGACTCATAATATATTAAGAGTTAGAAGGGCCCTGCAGGGTATCAAGTGTAACCTGTTGTGCCAGAAGGCTTAAGTCATCCCTGATTGGTTTTTATCCAGCCTCTTCTTTAACATCTCCACAGTGCTACAAGTTCTGTTGCCAAATCAACAGCCCAATCTTCTGAGTGCTTGCCAAGGGGTTCTGCCACCCTAGGACATACATTGCTTCAAATCAGTTGGCACCCTGCGGAAGAGGGGATTTTAATCTTGCAGAGTGCCTGGGAGGTGTGGAAAATCTGTTTGGTAATTTCCTTGTAGCTCCTGTTTGTTTTAACGGGGCTTGCACAAGAGAACATCCCTCTGGACTGCATCCAATGTTAATTAGTGCTCCATGCTAATGAGTGGGAGGGAGCAAGCCATTTGCATTTTCTGCTTCTGGATGCAAAATCGGTTTTGCAACCTTGCTTTCTGCTGTTGTATTTTCTTTGTCAGTTGGGAAAAAATAGGTGGGGGGTTGGAAATGCCACTCTGTGACATTCATTAAGGTGCACATCTGGGGTGACTGTGACCATCTTCCTCCCTCTGAATGAATGAAAAGCAGAGGCTAATGCAAAAGAACAGTCTGTCATCTCTCCTTTTGGTTTGACACTCATGGTTGTGACATGCAGCACGTTGGAAAATCCAGAGGCTCTCTAGCTGAGACAACCTCCCTGCCCTCTTTCCCCTTTCAGCAAGCAGAATCCCAAAGGAACAATCCACTAGATATGACAGGCTTGATTTCCGAGCAGAACTCATATTTAAAATATGGGACAGGATGTACGTTGGGGGGAAAAACAGAAGGGCATTCTGATCCTAAATAAACACGTTTGCTGAAAATAAGTCAAAACTGATTTCAGTGGAGCTTCCCATCTTATTTCTTTTATTCTGTTTCTTAACTGGCCTTCACCATAAAGTCTCAGGTTCACAATATACAATTAGGGTCAGTGGAGGGGAGGGGAACTAAGTAAAACTGTTCCAAACAAAACAGAATAGTTTAGATTGAACCAAAGAGCTGGGTCCCGCAAAACACCTTAGCTGTCAGTAGCTATGGCAAAGTGGTATGTCTTCAAAGAAAGTTATACTATGAAGACTGCACCTTTGTGTGACAGCTCTGTGGGGATGGAGTTTCACAATTTAGGGGCTGCTATGTGGAAGGCCAGGGACGCAGGTGGCACTGTGGGTTAAACCACAGAGCCTAGGACTTGCTGATCAGAAGGTTGGCGGTTCGAATCCCCGCGACGGGGTGAGCTCCCTTTGTTTGGTCCCTGCTCCTGCCAACCTAGCAGTTCAAAAGCATGTCAAAGTGCAAGTAGATAAATAGGTACCGCTCCGGCAGGAAGGTAAACAGTGTTTCCGTGCGCTGTTCTGGTTCACCAGAAGCGGCTTAGTCATGCTGACCACATGACCCGGAAGCTGTACTCCAGCTCCCTCGACCAATAAAGCGAGATGAGCGTCGCAACCCCAGAGTCAGTCACGACTGGACCTAATGGTCAGGGGTCCCTTTACCTTTATCTTTATGTGGAAGGCCACCATTTTTTGCCACCATTTCCTACACTTCTGAAGGTGATGGAATGACTAAGAGAGCCCCCTCTGATGATAGTGCTGGGATAACTCAGGTGGTAGAGCACAAGACTCTTAATCTCAGGGTTGTGGATTCAAGCCCTACATTGGGGAGCAAGGTTTCTTGCATTGGAGGGAGGTGGACTAGATGACCTTTGTGGCCCCTTCCAACTCCACGGTTCTATGATTCTATCTCTTTTCCCCAAACCAAAATGTGCCCATGACTTCTTCATGGGCTCATGACAAGCAGAGTGGGTTGGTTTCCTGCTTTACAGAGGATAGGCTTCTATTTGAAGGGCTATCATAGGATAGCTCTCCAAAGGGGATGCCTGTTTGTAAGGCTGTGTGGTCTAACTCTGGTTTAAAGATAAAGAACCATCAGAAATGAGAACAAGAAGAGCCTTGAAGTTGTCCCATCAGCAGTTATCTGAACTGCAGACAGGTCACTAGTTGTGATGGCTTGGGACTCAGGCTCGGACTCGGAACCAGAGAGGTCTCAGTGTGCACCGGATCCTTTGCCTCAGGCATCATCTGAACCAAGTTTGGGGCCTGATCCTGAAGAGTCCCAGTCTGCACAGGTGCCTCAGGGGCCTGAGACTGTCCTGCCTCCAGATGCAGCTGGGCCATCACTTACAGCTGCTCCACTACCGGTTTGGTCAGGGGAGGCTGAGGTAGCCCCTGGGTCTAGTAACCCACCGATGTCTCCCGAGCTGCAGAAACTAAGGTCTGGGAGAAGGAGAGACCTGAGTACTCGCAGGAGGAGTCTCGCCTTCAGGCGAAACAGGGAGGTGAGTTACCGGGGGATCAGGACTGGCTGTTACCCCAACAAAGATAAAAGGTTGCAGGAGCAACATTGCTATATGCCAGGTCCTGCCTGAGATCCTGTACCTGTCCTTGCCTGGTTTCCTGCCTCGTGTCCTGCCTTGGCCCCGTCAGACTGACTCCTAGTGGAACCTTCGGATTCTGGACCGGACCTGGACTGTGTGTCTCAGGTTACCCCTGGGGCCAGCACACTAGTCACCATGTACCTCACCATGGAAAGGTATTTCTATTTAAATGATAGTAATGATATCTGATTTTGTATCTGTGGTGTTGTGAGTTGGGAGGAGGTACCCCCTAAACCCTATGAATTAGCAAATGGTGGGATTTTGATAAATTGGAGTATTGGAGGGAAGTTTGCAGGCCAGTGGAAAGATACAGGCTAAGGTTCCATCCCAAGCCAGGGCCTCATCTGGGACAGAGGTGTTAACATGACAAAAGGTGTTGAAGGCTAATCTGAGAGGAGTTATTGAGCCTGGGAAGGCAGAGGCTGCCAAGGGAAGTGAGTGTGAGGTGACAGGAAGAGAGTGTCTTTAGCAAGATGTGCTGGGAAGAAGGAGGGAGAGAACAAAGACAGAGATCCATCTTGGGCAGGCTGTTTGGAGCCTGGTTGGGAGAGATGCCTTTGACTCCAGTGCTGCACTGCTGTGGGGAAGAAGCCCCCCTGAGAGGACCTTGCTGGAATACATGGACTCCCTCCATGCAAACTGAAGGTGTAAATATGTGAATGAATCATATTTCTTAGAGCTATGACAGTCTGCTGCATCTTCAATTCTCCAAAGGTGCACAAACCCTGGGTGAGCACCGGGAACCCCCTATAATCTAGCTGCTGCGAGCAGAGAGTGGGGGGTGGTGGCTAACTTTTCTAACAGTGCATACAAATATTGAAGTATGTCCTCTTTTGTCCTCCTTTGATGCCTTTCCTCTTTTTGGGTGATGGGTAAATGGCCATTCAATTTTTCCTTAATCTGTTCCCCTCAGTTTTATATCGCTTTCTTGTGGGCAGAATTATTTCTACGAAATATACATCAAAGTCTTACAAAATATTACGCAGGCAAAGCATGCAGGAATAAAAAGCTTCAAAATGACAAACAAAAAAAAAAAAAGGAGAAAGAGCCGCAAAGTGAAATGGGCTCACTAATTCTCAAAAACAAAACCCTATAATGAAATGAGATTATATCTGTAGTGGCCACTCAACTACAGTTCCTTTTGGGACTCTGAAACCCTCTAAGAGGGTCTCAATAAACATATTTTACAGGTGATTTTTCAGGTTTTGTGGCACTGACACAGCAGCACTGCTTTCCCCTGTCCTTGCTCCCCCGTGAAAATGTTGATTTTGAGCTAGATCATTGCCAATATCCAGATCCATCTTGCTAAGCAGATAAACAAGGCTTAACGAAACACCCCATTCTTCCCAGCTCCTTTCCTCACCAGGTTCCTTTTCTCTGCTGAGTGAAACAATAATAAAATCTCTACAAACCCAGGATGTGAGCTTTCGTTAGATGCTGGCATGGAACAACTCGCCGCTGAGATGGTTTTGTTAGCTTTTTTAAAATTGACCCTCATTGTGCTCATCCAGGAAATGAAGAGAAAAATAATCTCTTCAACTCTTTTTTTGGACAGCCCACTTCAAAATTAAAAATTAATCATCCTTTGTATCTCTAGTTTGTGAGGATTCACATATAGAAATGTTCCAAGGCCAGCTATTTGCTCTGCGATCGCCTTCTGTAAGTAATATCCCCTTTCACCTAATTGGGTTTTTAAAAAATCTTCCTTTATTGATTTGCTTGTTCTCCCAAGTAAACTGAGTGTGAGGGGGGAAAGGAAGTGGGTAGAATTGGAATAAAGAAACAGAGCAAGTGAAGCAGTAGCTTTCACTACGCCAATCAATATTCAAAAGCAAAATGTTTCACAAAATGATATTTTGAAGTGACAGATGATGCTCACCTGATAAAGATGAGAGATTCTTAAAGACTGAGTTGGAAGATTTGAAGAAAGTTTATAAACTGCTTGTAACGTTGAGACACTCCCATGTGAATGATTGCAGTTTTGCTGAACATAGTGTGGCATGCACCACAATCTCTGAGCACAATCCTCTGCTTACTCCAAGTTTGGTTTCCTTGGAACGAAGAGACTGTGGTGTCTTTAGCACATGCGGTTTATTTGCACATATTGGAGGAGACTCTTGAGAGTCCCATGGACTGCAAGAAGATCAAACCTATCCATTCTGAAGGAAGTCAGCCCTGAGTGCTCACTGGAAGGACAGATTGTGAAGCTGAGGCTCCAATACTTTGGCCACCTCATGAGAAGAGAAGACTCCCTGGAAAAGACCCTGATGCTGGGAAAGATTGAGGGCACAAGGAGAAGGGGATGACGGAGGACGAGATGATTGGACAGTGTTCTCGAAGCTACCAGCATGAGTTTGACCAAACTGCGGGAGGCAGTGGAAGACAGGAGTGCCTGGCATGCTCTGGTCCATGGGGTCATGAAGAGTCGGACATGACTAAACAACAACAACCACAACCTGAGTGTAGGGTGGAGGGGTTTACTGCACGAATGCCCAACAGATCTTTCTTCTCCATTGGGTTCCCAGGGAAGTCCCAAATCACAGCATGGGTTCAGAACAGAGAAAGACATGTCTCTATCTCTGCAATTGTGTGGTGAGGCCCTGGACCTCCCTCCCCCCCAGCTTCCCGAAAAAAAATACACAAACACAAGTACAGAAGAAAAGGAGGCTGCTTCCTGGCTGCACCACAATTTAAACAGGTGTAGCCACGCCCTCAGGCCAACCCGATTGGTTGGGGGGGGCGTGACGCGGCTGGGGATCCCTTGACGTTGGCAGCATTACTCTGCCCCACTCCTGGATTGCAGGGAGACCCCGGATTCCTGCCCACTAAGCAGCCCTCCAAAAAGGGAGAGCTGACAGCTTAAACTCACACACACCCAGGCCTATTGTTCTCCATTTTATGGCCATGGGGCATCCAGCCAGGTGTGGTGGGAAAAGGCCCACCCATTTATCTCCATGGCAACAGGGGGTCACTCTTTGGTACTTAACTGACCTACTGAGGCCATTATCTTACAAATAAACTTTTCTGACTCGCCTCTTCTACCAGATTCTAAACCTCACATACACAGAATCACAGGTTTGGAAGGGAACCACAGTTTCATCCAGACTCCCCTCAGCTTTCTGATAGTATTTATCCCTTCCATTCTCATTCAGCAAAGGACGGGTAGTCAGACATGTGAGACAGTATTGCTGTGTGTTTTTTTGTTCTGTTGGGACCAGTGTAAGACTGATGTTTTATAGATACAGCTGTGGACAAAGTTGCATTTCAAGAAAAGGTGGGAAAGGGGAGAGAATACAAGGAGACAGAGGCGGATGGAAGCGGGAGGAATTGTGGAGAAAATAGAAAGGAAGAAAAGCAAGACCCAGAGGAATAGCAGATTAGAGAGATGATATGACCTTGTCTTTGCCATCCTTGTTTTAACATCCTTTATGTCATAAATGGTCATGGCTAAGATTAAGCTGGTGCCAGAGCAGATAGGACACTTCCGCCTTATCTCCAGGCTGTCTCTCATTTAAATGACTGAGCATCTCCCCCCTCCACCAGTGTAACTAGATATAGTGCTCAGGATTTAATTTAAACAAACGTCAGGGTCTCTCCATCAAGGCTGCACACACCAAGGCTGAGTCCTCTCAGCAAGATAAACAGATTTTTACAAAATGCACACGGTTGCAGGGGTGTTCTCAGGGCAGAAACCAGCATGGTTGGCTGGCTAGGCAAGGCAACTGTAGCAGCTCAACCAGGCCGTTGTCAGCAGTTATATTTTCAGGCCTCCTGATCCTGCCATGTTGAAATGATTTAGTACTCCCTTCAGCGATCCATAGCACAGATTAGGCCACTTGCCTGGTGGTTTAAGAGGTGAAGTTTCTAGGCTGTACTTGCCACCAGTTGGAGACCCCTGGTTCCTTACAGTTTGCGCATTGGTTACGATTAGTGTGACAACTCTCATTTTTGACGATATCTCAAACGCTTATGAGATTTGTGCTGAAATACGGTTGCTACAAGGCACAGTGTTGTCCAGTTGAAAAGTAGTGGGCAGTTAAGATGGATTCAGTTCTCAGTTTAATAATGCAATAGAGCTGGCCACATCTGCACCATACATTTAAAATACTGCCATACCACTTTGAACAGTCATAGCTTCCCACAAAGAATCATGGGAATCTTCGTTAAGGGCACCAAGAGTTGTTAGGAGACCACCCCCAATTCCCCTCACAAAGCTACGATTCCCAGAGTGGTTTAACAATCAATTCCTCTTTCCAGAGAACTCAGAACTGTAGCCCTGGGAGGGGAATAGGGGCCTCCTAACAGCTCTGAGCACTCTTGACAAACTACCATACTTTTCCATGTATAAGACTGTGCTTTTTTCTTTATAAATCATGCTAAAAAGTGGGGGTCATCTCATACATGGGTAGTGCATAGGGTGGACATTTGATTGGCTGCTGCCGTTGCTGTCTGCGGCTATTGTGTGTGTTATTGGTTGCTGCGTCAATGGGTGGTGTTGATTGGCTGATGCTCTGGCAGTTGGGCGGGCAATAGGCAGCTTGTGCTGGCAATGGGATAGACGGGAGGTGGATTTTGCGATGGGTGCGGGTGAGCAATTGCCCCTAAAAAAAGCTCAACAACTCTGGGCAATCTTTCCCCATTTTCTTAAATTTGAGTCCCCCAAAATAGGGGGCGTCCTATACATGGGGGCGCCTTATAGACGGAAAAGTACGGTACATTTCCCAAGATTATATAGAGGAAGCCATGGTGGTTTAAAGTGGCATGATACCACTTCAAATGTGTAGTGTAGATGGGGCCAAAACCTTGCCACTCTAGTTCCCTGTTTGCAACATAAAAGATATAATGATAAAAATACTGCATCTATCCGCCATTGTTTCTTAAACTCAACCTTGGGAAACTTTTCTAGTGTTCATGTGTTTCTGCAGTTGCACCCCAAGGAGGTTTGAACTACCAGCTTTAAAATATGTAAGCATCTTTAACAAAAGATGTCAAAGTCAAAGAAATAGACCCCCCCTTTTTTGTAAAGAATGGTTCGCTGTGAATATTATATCTTAATATTAACACAGTTAACTAATGGAACAGAATCTTGTTTAAATTTCCACTTTGAATAAATGATACTTTGAAGTTAATGAAAAGAATGGATATGGCCACTCCAGGATTTCAAAAAAGAAAGAAGGGGAAACAAGAACAAAACAGCCTTCTCCACTGAAATGGTACAGCTTCTTTTTGAGTCATATGGGGAAAGTCTTTACTTCATTGACCTTATCTGTAAAGGGAACAATTAATAGGCTGCACATATAGGACCCTGTTATAGTTTCTGCAGCAGCTGAACTTTCTCTGATCTCCCAACCACAGAAAGGACACTCAGATAGAAATAATGAGAAGGAAACTGGCACCAATCATATCCAAAGGTATTTCTGGAGAATATGAAGATTGCTCATTTGTTTTGCATGTCAGATATCAATAAGACGCACATCATTACTGTCACTTTCCCCCTGATCTGGGAAGAAGGGCAGCTAAAATTAGAAGCTCTCTGCCCAGCTATCAGTAAATTGCAGGCAGAAAAGCACTTGCTCAGTCTGGGTGAATTGAAATGGAGAACATGTTTTCTTCATTAATGAGGCTTAAAGGGATTTTTATATTAGTACAAGCACACACATGGACTTAAGAAGATGCGGGCTTCAGTTCCATACCTGGTGCCTCGAGGAGCATTTGGGTATGGCTGGATATGCAGCCTTTGGGGTTATTTTACTATTGTTCCTTCCTGTTGAAACACAGTGTTCCAGAGCTTTCTCTCCACTAAATTGTAGTTTGAGGAGCTTTGCGCATCTTCTTTCCCCACGAAAGTCCCCCTGCAGCTTTTGTGCACCTCATTATGCTAAGGATTACCTGCATGAAGTGTTCTCTTCCATTTACACATTTAAGGCAACCTGACAAGAAAACTCCATTTCCTTTTTTTATATATATAAATTTTTATTAGTTTTTTTAACATATCATTTTCAACAGTAATTAAACATACTTTTACATCTTATTCAATTTTTTTGACTTCCGCTAGTCCTGTCTGAAAATTTTCCAATCTAATCTCTTAGTATGCATTTCTTATTTTCCCTATTACATTTCAAACTCATAACCAATATATCTAGCTTTTTCTACTTTGTAACACTTCGTATATTTCTCCTTACAAAACTTCTTGTAGTCCTACTAGCGTAATTTGTTGATTACAGTTGCTCTTCAAATAATTCATATACTTCTTCCAATCTTCTGTAAATCTCTGGTCCCGCAGGTTTCGAATCCTTCCTGTCATTTTGCCCAATTCTGCATAGTCCATTAATTTCGTCTGCCATTCTTCTTTCATCGGAATTTCTTCTTGCTTCCATTTCTGGGATAACAATACTCTTGCCGCTGTTGTTGCATATAAGAACAGTTTGACATCTTGTCTATTAATGTCTTGGGCCTATAATACCAAATTAAAATGCTCCTGGTTTTTTTAAGAATGTATATTTCAACATCTTTTTCATCTCATTATGTATCATTTCTCAAAAGTTCTTTACTTTCTTACATTCCCACCACAATCCATTTCCATTTCTCTTTGCTGTCAGTCTCTCCTCTGATCTCAGGGCCAGCCCATCTGTGAGGTGAGGTAAGGCAGTCACCTCAGGCAGCAGATCAGGCCTCCTCTGCTGCTTCTCATCGCCGCCTCCTCTATGGCCACCTGCCAGACCTGCCTCCTCCTTGCCTGGCCATGCCAGGCAGAGGCAGGAAGGAAAGGAGGAGGCAGGTGCAGCAGTGGGTTTGGAGAGATGGCAGTGGGTGGGGGCAATGAAGCAGCTGTCGTAAACAAAATCTGTTCTTTTCCCCTTATGGGGTATCCAAGAGCCCGTATAGAGTCCTTAAGTGGGTTCCCTATCGGTAGGAGAAAATAACAGAGGCCAACCAGAGAATATTGAGAAGCAAAGCAGCTAGTAAGCCTGATCTTTATTAAACTGTTGCAATAGGGTCCCTCGCTCACCACATGCAGGAGGGAGGAGGAGCCCAGAACAATGGTGTGCAAGCCCTTATATAGACTCTTTGAAATTGCCACCCTGCAAGCTTAAGGCCAACCCCCAATACATCATACAGTGGTAACTCGAGTTACATACACTTCAGGTTACATACGCTTCAGGTTACAGACTCCGCTAACCCAGAAATAGTACCTTGGGTTAAGAACTTTGCTTCAGGATGAGAACAGAAATCGTGCTCCGGCGGCGCGGCGGCAGCAGGAGGCCCCATTAGCTACAGTGGTGTTTCAGGTTAAGAACAGTTTCAGGTTAAGAACAGACCTCCGGAACGAATTAAGTACTTAACCTGAGGTACCACTGTACATACATCACTGAAGGGGCATTCTATAGCAGAAATACATCATACATTCCTGTCTGGCAGGAAACCTGTTAATGGTCACTGATTGGATTACCTGGGCATCCTGGCCATTCTTTTGTGATGATAAATACTTAATTCCTGAGTCCAGGTCACAGGCTCACCCTATTCATATCTCAAATGTGCCCTTAAGGCAGGATTTGTAAGCATATAGACAATGGGGAGTGTTTTCCCATTTCCATCCAAACTGCAGAGGAATATTTGTGGTCACTTGGAGAGTCAAAATGGTTTCTGGCTTGTTCTCCTGTCCTATTTCAGACACGTGGTTTATATACTTATGTATGTGTTTGCCTTGTACATTTATGAACATTGAATTTATATATTTGAGATCTTAAATTCTTATAACACAGCAAAACACCACTGGTCTGCATAGCCAGAATTTGGTCTGTTTGGTCTGCATAGCCAGAATTGTTTTCTTGGCTGAGCACTTCACTTTATTACCACTATTTAATGATTTCCACCTACCCCTTCAAGTTTTTGGTTGTTTTTCTTAAAACAGCCATAGTGCACTGTAGAGCTATGTAGAACTATGCATGGAAGAGGCTCCACATTCTATTTCTGGCATCTCCAAGTAGAAAAACTGGAAAGACTTAAAAAAAATAAAATCTAGGAGAGCCACTACCCACCCCTCTCTCCCTCCCCCATATTAATGGATTGATTTCCTTCCACATCTTTGTACTAAGCTGATGTACACAATATAGTACAAAGAGCTAAACAACAACAATACCACCAGTTGAAAACACCACAGAAAATAACAGCGAATTGATGGGTAAACAATAAAATGGTGCACCCACAGCAGAGTCCTATTAGTTCAGCTGGAAAATAGGTATTTTGGCTCGATGGCTTCTCTGTGTAAAGAGGCTGGAAGGCAAGGGATGAAATTTGCTAAGCTGAAACAAAACGTTGGAGCCAAAATGAATGCCAGGAGTAGGAAAGGAGCTAATGATAACTATCTCAGAGGTAGCGCTGCGGAGAAGTAGTTCAGCACTAATTAGTGGCTAAGACACACTGCACAGACTGAACAGCCTACAGTTTAAATTAGCAGGTAGCAGCGGATCAGTTAAGCAGAAACTTTTAATTTCATTTCTTGTTTATAACTGAAGGTGGTTGGGGTGTGTGGGTGTGCAATTTCAAAGTACTGCCTAGAATGTCCACAAGATGTCATTGTCACATTTAGGCTCTAACTCAGTTGCTGGCAATTTGATGGGTTTTGGTGGTGGTTTTGGCAACACTGCAGGACTGTTTGCTTCTCCAGTGAGAAGCAGAATTGGCTCTGCTGTAAGGATTACCACTAGATAATGCTTGTAAAAGAATTTTGGACACTTGAAAACGTCCCACAAAAGCTAAGTATTCTTACATGTGCCCCAAAGTTCTGAGTAGTTACTTCCTCTAAGAAGTAACGTGTTTGGTATCTATATAAGGTTTAGGTGTTTGGAGACAGAAACTTTTATTGTGAGGTCTGATCTTTGCATTTGAACGCGGTCCTGACCACAGGCATGACACAAGCAAAGTTTTCAAGGAGTCGGGACTGTGGGCATAGCCAGGATTTTTGTTAAGGGGGAAGGCCTTTTGTTGGGGTGGGGAGGGGGGGGCAAACCCTCAGTTAGCTATGTATTTTTATTGGTTTTTATTAATTTATTAATTTAGAGAGCAGCTGACCCTCCCTCTCCCCCCTTGGCTATGCCCATGGTCTGAGCTGAGCAAAATAAAGTGGTATCTCGGGTTATAGACGCTTCAGGTTACAGACTCTGCTAACCCAGAAATAGTACCTCAGGTTAAGAACTTTGCTTCAGGATAAGAACAGAAATTGCGCGGCGGCGGCGTGGCGGCAGCGGGAGGCCCCATTAGCTAAAGTGGTACCTCAGGTTAAGAACAGTTTCAGGTTAAGAACAGACCTCCAGAATGAAGTAAGTTCTTAACCCGAGGTACCACTGTATTGGGGAACAATAAATAGAGGGGCGCCTTCTGACCCTCAGTATGAGAATTGGACACAAACTTTCATTGTCTTTTTCCCAGCTCACATCACCGAGAGAAAATCACTCACTGTAGCTTGTTTAGTCTTATTTGATCAGCTAACTCCCGCTGCTTGATAAAACGGCACTCATAATTACACTTTATGATCTTGAACTTTTTGTGGTTGTTTCTTCATGGACTGCCAAATGAACGGATGACCTCAACTTCAGTCAGCGGTAGACACAGCATAACCTCTGAGTCGGATCAAATGAGCTGCTTATACTTTCTTTTTCATGAGAGCCACCCAAGGGAATCGGTGGCAGAGCACGGAAGGAAGCTTAGTTGTCCTCTTAATTGCAAGTCCCCTGCTTTCTAAAACGGGCAATTCATAATCAACAATGTTCTCTTATGACAGACTTCTTCTTTTTCTATTTATTATCTGCCTTTCACCGGCTGGTCCCATTTCTGCCTCCGACCTCGGAGGCAGAGCACAGCCATCGTGACTAGTAGTCATTGATAGCCATAAACTCAATGAATTTGTCTTCTTTTAAAGACCTCTCACTTGGAGGCCACCATTGCTTCCTGTGGGAGTGAGTTCCATAGTTAACCTACGCACTACATGAAGAAGTCCTTTCTTATATCTGTGCTGCATCTTCCAAAGTTCAGCTTCATTGGATGTCCACGAGTTCTTGTGTTATGAGAGCAGGGAAGACTCTTTATCTACTTTTATAAACTTCTATCATGTCACTTCTTACTTGCCTTTTCTCTATATTAAATGTCTCAAATGCTGCAGCCTTCCCTCATAGGCGTGTTACTCAACCTGCTTGATCACTTTTGTTATGTACTGAAGTTCTCACCCTGGGCCAGCAGGGGGATACTGTAGATAGTTATGCAAATAAGGGATCGAAAGTGACGTTCAGTGATTGGGTAGTTTTAGAAAGTTGATACAGTTACGTTGTACTGGAGCTCTATATAAGCAGGCTGACTGAACCCTTCAGTTCAGTTCTGTCCTGGCCTGTGAATAAACAAGAGCTGTTTGAAGAATCGCTGTGTCGTCTGATATGTTCACCCACAACTTAACAACTTTGGTTGCCCTTTCCATAACCTTTTCCAACTCCACAATATGCTTTTTGAGGTGAACTAAAAGGCAAACTTTGAGTATTTTTCATAGAGGCAGTTTTTACAGCCTATACATAGTCCTTCATTCCACATAGCCCACTTGATAAAAGTTTTATTCTTAGCCTTAAAGACTTTGCATCCCATGTCATCCAAAGTGCATTTCAGCCTGGAAGTGCCTGCGCCACGTTGGTTCTTACGGTGTGTTTGTGGAAGCTTTGGCTGCTGTTGCCTTAAATCAGGTCTTCCATTTCAGAGCTCTGACTGCTTTTGATAGTTATTGCAGCTCATTCACACTTTTGCTTGCCCCTTATTTTGATGTATTTTGATTGCATTGTGTGCTGATTAATTCCCCTTGGTCCAAGAGCTTTTCTTGTTGTCCCACAGCTGTGCCTTGGGAAAATCCAATCTTAACTGGCTGAATCAGAAGCTCACTAGCAAAATATATCTTCGGATTTCCCTCACATCTGGCGAGATCCAATTCCATGGGTAAGATTGGATTTTCCGAAGGCATAGCCATGGAACAAAGAGAAAAGCTGCTGAACCCAGGGGAAATAATATACAATGCGATCGTAATATGGGGACGAGCCCTTAGTCTATAAGAAGTACAAATACAGAGGCAAAATTGCAATGTTCAACAGTGCTCTTCAGAAGAAAAAGAACTGGGCCCAAATTGCAGGGGATTGGACTAGTTGGCCCTTGAAGTGCCTTCCAACTCAGCAATTCTATGATTCTGTGAAATGTCTGCTTGGGTTTCGTGATCTGCTTGACACACACACACACACACACACACACACACACACACACACCATTCACGAGACCTGCTTCTCTAAGCCTCTCTTCTTCTTTGGTGATTACTTGTAGCCAAGGAAGATTGTCTTCCATAAACACGGTTTTAACAATGAATCCGTAGGTGACTGTGGAGGCCAATTCTGGATCCACATGTCCTTCCACAGTGGGGACATTGGTTTCCAGACGGGAGTTGATCACGCTGTGGATTTGCCAAGCGTGCCTTCCTCTTAGCACATTTCTCCCTTGCGTCCTGAGTTTGAGGGTCTTCAAAGCCCATGACAACTTTGGCAAAGGCTGTTCTCCAATTGGAGCGCTTGCAGGCCAGTGTTTCCCAGTTGTCAGTGTTTATACTACATTTTTTAAGATTTGCCTTGAGACAGTCTTTAAACCTCTTTTGTTGACCACCAGCATTAAGCTTTCCATTTTTAAGTTCGGAATAGAGTCGTTGCTTTGGAAGATGATCATCAGGCATTCGCACAACATATAACATGCAACATAGGTGTCTTCTCCATGCGATGGTTGACTGAGGATTCATGTTTTGTTCACATACTGCAGCTGCCTGGAAGAGCACTACCAAGAAACAGCTCCCTGCACAGGTTGACATGTGCTTCTGTGTGAGAGAGAAGGTGGCTTTTATTTGGTCCTCTCCCGCATGGGAGATTTATTAACACATTTATCCCCCACCTTTCCTCCCAGTAGGTCCAGGTGCTGTATGTATACTGTTCTCTCCCTCTTTATTTTATCTCATGACAACCCTGTCAGGTAGGCTAGGCCAAGAGACTGCATCTAGCCCAAAGCCCGCCTGTGAATTTCATGGTTGAGCAGGGATTCAAATTCTGGTTTCCCAAATCCTAGTCTGACGCTCTAACCCAGGGGTCAGCAAACGTTATCAGCAGGGGGCTGGTTCGCTGTCCCTCAGACCTTGTGGGGGGCTGGGCTATATTTATTTTGGGGATGAACGAATTCCTATGCCCCACAAATAACTCAGAGATGCATTTTAAATAAAAGCGCACATTCTACTCATGTAAAAACACCAGGCAGGCCCCACAAATAACCCAGAGATGCATTTTAAATAAAAGGACACATTCAACTCATGTAAAAACACGCTGATTCCCGGACCACCGTGGGCCAGATTTAGTCTAATCATTTAGAAGGTGATTGGGCCAGATCCAGCCCCCGGGTCTTAGTTTGTCTACCCATGCTCTAACCCCTACATGGCACTGGCTGATAGTTACACAGCGCTGTCCAAAGCTTCCTATAGCAACAAACTCTGCACATCTCATTTGCAGGCACAATGGGGGAAAGCAAAAATTGTGCATTTTGCATCAGGCCCTCCAACAGGCTTTTTAAAGGTACAAACCAGCTGGGAATGGCAGTGGGTTAAGATTGCCTCTGACAGCTTGTCATTCTTGCCAGCAGCATGTTTTCTTGCTCTTTTCTGATTGTTATTATTGTAGAAGCCTAAATGAAATTATCCTGGGTTATAATTTAAATGTCAAATGTAATTACCATAGCAATGATCTACTTGGCAGTGCCCTTCCAATACACAGAGACATCGCCTCATTCTCCGGGGAGCAGGAGAATTGGAGACGAGGTCTCTGAGGACAGGACCTGTGAACCCTGCGGATGACAAAGCAGTGTGTCTTGGGAATAAATATTGTCTAAAGTAGAATCAGTTTAGAATCAAAAGCAGAGGAACACTGGGTCTTCTTGTTGCTCCATTGATAAACGAATGGAATGCATCCAGATACAAATCCTAGTATGTGTGAGCTGCATCAGTATCCCAGGTCTCATTTTATTTTATTTTAAATAAATTTATTATTAAACAATAAAACAGACAGTACAAATGAGAAAAGGGACAGACATTAACAACCAAAAAGGTATTATGAATTAAATGCAAGGAGCTTGGGAAAATACAATCAATCAGGAGTAAATAGAATACAGTACATTGGGTTTTCTTACACTGAACAATAAAGACAAGAAGAGGAAAATGTATTGTCTATTTACAGACGCCGCCAAACAAAATCATATTTCAAAGGGATTTGCCACCCATGTAGTTGTATTGTCATATAGTTAATAAATAACTTCCAAACAGAGGTCAAGTCAGAAATATCAGCATCATCCCTAGCTGCACAAATCGCATAGATCAATTTCTCTGAGACAGCAAGGAACATATGTAACATTTATGAGCCCATTATCTAGGGTATAACATAAGGCATCTCCTCAACCCTGAGTGATTACTAATTGAGCAGCTACCAGGAGCTATATAATTAATTGTTTACATTTAAGACCTGCATTACCTTTATCAATGACAGACAAAATACGTCATTTAGGATCCAATATAATTTTTTAAAAACCTATTAAATCCACTGGTTTCTGTAGTCACTTGTTTCCAAAATTTATAAAATTTAGCATGACTCCACCACATACGCTAGTATGGTCGCTGATCCTCACAGCCCCATGAGCACCAGAAGCAGCCTGATTTTGTAATATGAGTCAGACACAGTGTGGTAAGATACCACCAATGAATGACTTTTAAAGAATTATTCTGTATGCTGACAGAAACCAATCCAAAATGGTGGGTGGATCAGAGCTTTGTCCATTGAGATACTTGAAGTTTTCCTTTAAGGTATAATTGCCATACCAACCTAGGTGTACCCTGGGGTGAAAATTACAATTGCAGAAGTAGGGAGCATATAATTGACACCACCCCCTTCTGGGGAAAGATAGAGGGTGCCAACACTTATGAGTTCCTGTGTTTAATGGAAAACCCACGTATTCAAGCAGGCCTTTATTAGAGGGCTATTAGGGGGTGGATTTTGACTGGATTTTGACTATTATTGCTATTACTGATTTTGTTGTGCTTTTAACTGCACCTTTTCTTCTTTTTTTAATATATGGCAGCCTGTGTAGAGATTTTATCTGTTAGTTTTAATTTATGCAATTGCATCCTGTCCTGTTATTGCATTGTAATGAAGGGTGAGTTACATAGGTGAACCTGGGACAATGGAATATGAAATGTATACATGACTGAGGGAAAGAGTATGTGGATATGTGGGAATGGGAGGGGGAGCTATGGGTAGACAGATGCATGTCGATGAGGTGACCTCATCCACTTTTTGGGGTTGTCCCAAACCACTGCTGGTACGTGCCCCCACTATTTATCCCTAAGGGAATGAGGTTGTTGACTTAATTTTATTCATTATTACATTTATATCCCAGCTTTCCTCCAAGCTGCTCAGGTTGGCATGCACACTTCTTTGCTACTCTCCATTTCATCACTGCAACAACCCTGTGAGGTAGGCTAGGCTGAGAGACAGTGACTGGCCCAAGGTCCCACAGTGGCTTCATGGCTGAGTTCAGGGATCTGAACCCTGGTCTCCAAGGTCCTAGTCCAGCTCAGGGGTTAGGAATCATGCTTAGTATTCATAAAGCCTCAGTCTCCAGAATCTCCAGTTAAAGGATCATTGGATAGCAGGACTGGAGAAAACTCCTGGGGAGTTGCTATCAAACAGAATTGACAGCGATGGGCAGTATAGACCAGTGGGCTGACTCAGTACTGGGCATCTTCAGTACTTGATCCTGTGGTCAAGGTGTGAAGCACTGCTCTCTGGAACCAGCAGCTGTGATGGTTTCTGAATAGTAGTTTGGGGATATTTCTTTAAAAGGTGACCTTGAATCCTAAAAGGAGCATGACTTTAATAAAGCTCCTAATTACCACTTGCTAGAAATAGAACACCAGCACAGCAACCATGTGACCAGAGAGCTGCCATTATTCTTGGCAGGCTTATTTTCCGGCCTGAGAAATGAGACCTCATCTCCTTAGTATTTCGAGAGCTCCCCCTTCTTCTTTGAAGCGACGGGAGGGTCTAAGAGTTGGAATGTGAGCCTGTTGCTCAGAGACTCTGCAAGAAAAGGTTTTGTTATGCATAAGAGTCAGCCTGGCTATTATATTATCCCTAGTGAAACTATTGTCAGCGATATAATCCCTTTTCCTTTTATATAACTTTTTTAAAAAACAAGTACAGTGGTACCTCAGGTTAAGAACTTAATTCGTTCTGGAGGTCCGTTCTTAACCTGAAACTGTTCTTAACCTGAAGCACTACTTTAGCTAATGGGGCCTCCTGCTGCTGCCACCACACGACTTCTGTTCTCATCCTGAAGCAAAGTTTTTAACCCGAGGTATTGTTTCTGGGTTAGCGGAGTCTGTAACCTGAAGCATCTATAACCTGAAGCGTCTGTAACCTGAGGGTACCACTGTATCTCACATTGCAGCCTTCCTAAAGCACAGCTCATTTGGGCTTTGCATGTTTGTATGGCAGAGGAACAGACTCAAGATTTGGGATTGTGAAAGATGACCTTCAGTTCATCACACAATGGGCAAACCCAATTCCCTTAATTTGGTTTAGGAAGGATCCAGGATTGTTTTCAGTTTCAGGCCAAACTGACTTGTACTGTACATTGGCATCAAAAGCACAGGGCTGGCCTACCATTAGCCAGAGCGAGATAATTGCCTCAAGCAGCAGGTGCTGTAGGGTGCTGAGTTCATAGGCCTATGTGTGCCACATGATTTGCCCTGCATCCTGTAAGCCAACTCAGATGCAGTGGAGGATGCTGCCCCATTGTTGGTGTTGAAGTTAAGGGTCTGGTACCCTCTGACAGGTTTGCTTCTGCAGATGGAATGAGGAGGGTGTCGTCTTTTCCATTGCCTGGCAACAATCCATTTTGGTCCAACTCTACTAAAACATCTCTGAGAGATTCTCCAAATATTTAACTCCAACACTGGGTGAAGAGCCCTGACCAAGGATTGACCTAAGTAGGATTTAACCCCAAGTATACATATTTAAGATTCCACTTTGAACATAGAAACATTGTATAGGGAGAACATTGGGAAAGCTTGGTTTTCTTGGGTCCTTTGCAGATTCATATGATGAAAGAAGTCCTCACTTCTCACTATCTTTGATTAGCACGCTGGTCAGAAACTGAGAGGTTTCAGTCTCTATCTCTCTTTTGGGTATTATTTCCTCCCTGGACATCAAACACATGAAGATACTTGTTCAGAGCAACCCAGAAAATCCATGTTAATAGTTTTACTATGAGTGTATTCATAGTTCATGCTGCTTTTTTAAAAAATTGAAAAGTGGTTCAAGGTTCTGTTCTTGTTACCATAACTTTTTTTCTGGATCAACTGCTCAGTCTACTAAGAATTCAATACTGCTGCTTCCAAAATGTCATTTGACATACTTATGTATTCTCTCTTGTGTTTCTGTGCTTTCTGGTCTTCTGTGATTTGCTGATTGTGTTTGTCTTGCCTGTCTCTAAATTTTTTAAAAAGAATAGGCTATGTTTACATTTAAAGAGTGGAAGGGAAGCCTCTGAAACTGAAATTTATGGATCTGCTTAAAGCCCTTAATGCTTAAGGAAAGAACTTTTGGGTTCGTTTTTTTTTAAAAAGGAAGTAGTTCAACCTGGATTGAGGATATTTCATAGCAACTGTAATAACTGCAACCATCAGTTAACAGCCTGCCTGTGGATGGAATTTAATATACATAAAATGGATAATAATAAAAAATGGAAGCAGGATGATTTAAGAGGTCGGGCAAGGCTTCAACTTAAATGTCAGTGCATTTTAGGTGAACTTTTACAATTGTTAAACCTCTTGTTATTCAATCAGTTTGCCCCAATCAGGGTTCAGAGCCCCAATGCATGAATTTCTAAATTACTTCTTCACAAAGTCTAATGGCTTCTAATCTTACAATCAACGTAACAAAATGATAGCAAGCTTGCAAAGTGGATTCCCCTCCAACTGAGCATGACATCCTCTGTAAATTTCGATACATTTTTTAACTTTTAGCAATGCGGTTTTATTGTTTGAAGGTTTTTGTTATTTATATTGATAGTTTGAATCATTGGGAGGGTTGTTGTTTTTTTACCTTAAAAAAATGTTGTTATAATGGAAAAAGAACTGCTCACATGATTATAAATATTTTAACATAAATTAATAAATATAGGGAAAGGCAGGGTATTGTAATAAGAGCTCCATTGTGGAGACTTTGGCATGGTGTTGCATCACGACCAAAGCCGTTGACATTTTTTTAGTATTGAAGTTGCTGAGCTTTTCTTAGGATTTTACCCCTGAAATGGACTTTGGACATGCTTGACCTAGGCAGTTGCTCTGTTGATGGATACCAAAGAAGAGGAGCTGTTTGTGAGGATTCAGGGCTTATCCACACAAGGGTTTACTGTGTGTTTGCATTTGCATGGTGGGGCCCCGAGCCCCACCCCATTTCTTAGAGAATGAAACACTCGGACACCAATATTTTGGGTTCATGGGATAACTAAGGCCCCAACTTTATTGGTTATAGATGTGAGCAGTATTGGCTTAGGCGTTGGAACTGAACCAACTATATCTGACTCCTGCCTGTCGTGTAGTTAGTCTAGTAAGGGTCAACCACCAGTAGGGGGAGCCCTGTTGATGTATTGTACATCAACTGCAAGCTCCCTCAGGGTCACCGATGGGGTCATGGCATGGCCAAAGCCCATACCCGGGCTTCGGACAGGATGCACACCCCAGATCCCTTTAACGGAATACCCTTAAAGAGGAGGAGCAGGTGAAGGCCACAACCTCCCCTCCCATAAACCAGGTTTACCAATGCCTAACCGCCAAATCTTACAAAATTGTGACGATTGCTACAAGGCAGGCGAAAACCACATGGCTGGTGCCAACTTGCCAAGTGGGAAAATTCCTACCTGGCCCCCTCAACAGGCAATATTTCACATAGTAAGGCCAAGATGGTGAATGCATGAAAATAGGGCGGGAGGGCAGGGGATCTGATGCAGGAGGAGAAAAGGAGACTGAGCCCCTGACTGCGTGGATGTTTAAATCAGGTAAGCCACGCCCCCTGGTCAACCAGATTGGTCGGCTGTGGGACGTGACATGGCTGGGACTCCCAATGATGCGGGCGGCATCGCCACACCCCTTGCTGTACACAGGGAGTGCTTGTCGCCAACCTGCAACTCTGCTCCCCTGGGAAGGTTAGTGGTTTTCCATTTAATTTGCATAGTCCACATGATGTTGCAAACCTCAGCCCTTTCCTTTTGTAAATGTGGGTTTATCTGATAGAGGAATAATCTGATAAACTGGGGAAAATAGGACTCCAAACCACTCTACTTAAGGTTGCAGAACTTTTTTTAAAATGTTTTGAAGTGGTTGGATCAATTGTCACTTTCTGCTAAGAACATAAGAAGACCCTTGTGGATCAGGCCAATTGCTCATTTAGTCCAACATCCTCTTCTCACAGTGGCCAGGCATAAGAGTCCTCTCCCTCTCCTGTGGTTTCCAGCAACTGGTATTCAGAAGCATTACTGCCTCCACATGTGGACACAGAGCATAGCTATCATGGCTAGTAGCATTTTTCTCACTTAATTTGCCAATCCTGTTTTACAGCCACCTAGAAAACTGTACAAGGAAACCACATTTCAAAATCCAACATGAGATATTGTGCAGGAATCTGAGAAATGTGTGCTGAAAATTTACAGTTGCTTTCTTTTCTTTTCTTTTCTTTTCTTTTCTTTTCCTTTTATTTTATTTACTTATTGAATTTATATACCGCCCTATACCCTGGGGTCTGAGGGCGGTTCACAGAACAAATAGGAACAAATCTGGGCTGTGCTCATGATTATTTCTGGCACAATAATAGATACAATCTGGCTTTATAGATACAATCCCTCATATTTTATCTGTTGGATTTGCGCAAAACGAATTTACAATTGTCTGACTATGTGCTTTTGCACCCTTCCTGAATAGAAATTTTATTTTTTAAAGGATGCATACAGCTATCTGCACTCATACCCTGTTGGTACTTAATTGGTAGAATGGAATCAACAAATGAAAAGGTACAGAAAAACATAAAGGGAACACCTACTGGTATGAAGAGGAAAAAGCCAAATTGCTCCTCGAAAACTGATTCAGCTACATGTGGGTGTGGACTACTCAGACAAATTTAAGTTTGCAACTTCTTGGGTTAAAATTAAACAATTTGCGACTTGGTGGGAGGTTAGAATTTCTTTGCTCTAGCATTTCAATGCATTCTACATTTCCCCCTCTTAAGCTGCTGTATTTTAATGAGTCCCTGTACTTGTGATGTACATAAAAAAACTGAGTAGAGGAAGCAGCTGATTCTCATTGGTAGAACACTTGCCTTGGCTGTGTGGGTTCCTAAGTTTAACCTGGCATCTTTAGTTAAAAGATTAACACGAGGGTTTAAACATTCTCTACAAAGCATTCTCTAGTCAACATTGCAGCAGTAATTTCATAGCATGTTCAGTAGAAATAGCTAACCATTAATTATGGGAGACAGCATGTAGTTAACGGATGCAAACTGGTAGATTCAGCAGCCAACTGGTTCTGTTGCTATCTGTGCTTTTGCCAGTATAGAGATGCTGTTAGGCACGTTGTGATTTCCAGCTCATTTTTGGAACGTAAGTACATATGCATGTTTGTGTGTAAATAAAAGGCCTTGGGGAACAAGTGAAATTCAACTTGTCACTTGTGACAGGAAGTATTGCCCGGTGGAAATTTGAAACCACAATATGTGGGGGAACACACACTCGGCCTTAAAAAAACTGCCTACACCTGTTCTGGGAAATCAGACTGTGAGAACACTGTGGATGTCTGGCCACCACAGGAAGTGACAGTTCAGAGCAATTTGTCACAAAGGCTAACCCAAAAACAAGCCTGCGGAGACCTACAGTTTCTTTTCAATAATGAATGCAGCCATTTCCTTTACCACATGCGTAGCCCAGCTGCTAGGGCAGCTCAGAAATAAAACGTTTTGTTCCTGAGTCCATCTGCAGTTCATTCATGGTCCCTGCACATAAACGGAAACAATGTGAACTTGCCCCTTTGAGGTTAGTCAGGAGCATGAATTATGCACTGTGGTGAGTGTCACTGGCACATTTTGCACCTCAATTAGGGATTGCTGAGTCTAGTCACATTGACACAGCTTCCTTGGCGCTTCTGTTTCCAGTTGTAGTGCTGTGTTGAATCAGTTTGCCTTGCATTGTCGGAATACATTTATTCCTCGGCCCAACAAAGACCAAATCACAAAACCGTATTCAGCAGGCATGATGGTTTCAATATGTCTTTGCAGCTCAACTAGCTTTGTCTTCATCCAACCTATTTTTGGAAGAGTTGTGTTGAGATTGATTTGGGGATGAATTCAAACCACCCTAAGATGGATTTACTCCACTGGAAATTTGGAACTAGTATAAATCATCCGGATGCAGCAGGATAGAGGACCGGGCTATTTGATTGGTTTTGTTTGTTTGTTTGTTTGTTTGTTTGTTTTGTCAGACAAACATCATTATCATCAAATTAAAAGAGCCTTTTTCTAATATTTTATTTAGTTCAAATCTAAATACCGTATTTTTCACTCCATAAGACACACTTTTTCCCTCCTAAAAAGTAAGGGGAAATGTGTGTATGTCTTATGGAGCGAATGCAGGCTGCGCAGCTATCCCAGAAGCCAGAACAGCAAGAGGGATTGCGGTCCTGCTTGTGGGTTTTCCATTGGGGCATTCAGCTGGCCTCTATGAGAACAGGATGCTGGACTAGATGAGCCGTTGGCCAGATCTAACAGGCTCTTCTTATGATCTTATCAACATGTCCAAAGAAGCTAATGTATGTACAGTATAAAGAGTGAGGGGAAAGATTCCTAGCGCCCATTAAGTTGCAGAAGCATCACAAAAGCACACAACAAACAGCTGATTTATTTGTGGAGAAGGTACTGTATGTGCCTTGCTTCATATCAGGGCAGACTGGGTTCTATTGAATGAATCTGATAAAGGTTGGAGGCTGTGGAGGCCAAGGGAAGGGAGGCCGGTTGAATATGTATGCCAAGGACTGAACATGGGTCTTCTTTACTCTGCCCCTGCTTTTGTGTGGCTTTGCCCATGATTCATTGACCCGCCACCAAATTGCATTGAACAAGCTCCCATGAATCGTTAAAAATTGAATCAATGCCTTACGGATGCGTGTGCTGGCAGGTTGCTCAACGTCACCCCTTCCTCTGCAGGAGTTTTGAATCATCAGCAATCATTTAACTGTCCCCTTCAGAGCACATCTAGTACTACTGGGTCTTTTGAAGCTTTTTGTGAAGCACTGGCTGTGTTTCATGAGTGACAACCAGCCCCAGTACTGTGTGGCACTAATTTCACAGATCAAGATAATTAGCATCTCAATTTCTGCCTACACAAACTCCTTTCCTCCACCGCCTCTGACAGTAAGGACTGGTTTCCATGGAGCTGCTCCATCCATACCTTAGGAAATCTCTGTCCCGCCCCACTCCCAGTCCCAAACACATGCACCCAACTTCTCCCTATGGGCAGAATTTATGAGGTTTCCATGGAAACATTGAGAAGAGATGGACTGAGATATCTTCAGCACGTGCCGGTGGCTTCACAGAAGCCTTGTGGCTTTGGTAGTTGGTCTTGTATGACTTCCTCTGTTGGTTATTTCTGGGATGTGTCCAATATAGTTGACCAAGAAAACCAGTTTATGTCTGGTTAAGAAGTCACACCGAAAATATAAAAAGAGCAGTTAAGCATCAAAATTCTGTGAAACAGGGGAAATTAAATTTAACAGGCAGTTTTGAATGATCTAGGCTGCTATTCCTTGGCATGTAGCTTAGAGAAGCTGTGGATCCTGCCCCTAGATCGTGTGTTCCTGAACCCCTGTTACCGTGCTTGTTAAAATTTTAGCTGCACTTGTGAAATTTTATAATTGGCAGATCAGCCTTTAGTCCTGTGGGGCTCAGGCCAACCAATTTCTATTCCATTCCGGTATCATACCATGCAGCTGAACAAGCATTCATTAGTATGTATGCACTATATTCCATTTTTTTTCCAGAAGTCACTTTTATGTTGTGTGAAATCTCAAATATAACACAGAAATTAGCAGTTAGGGAAACACTGAGGAAATGCAATAAATGAATGAAGTCTAAGGCAGGTTATGAAGCTGGGTTCACTCTACAAGTTTTGACTTTACCCTACAAAACCTCACATCATTGCTGTTGCTAACCTGCTCTTCGCCCATCCCAGAGTGGGTTACAACAAGTGAAACACAATATTAAAAACAGTTTAAACAACCTGCCACACCTGTACTTTATCTCTTTGTTCTGAGTGTGTCAGACTGAAATAGCACCCCATCAATTCCAAAAACTCTCAATAAATTTGATTCCAGAGTTGCTCCAGCTAAAGATCTATATACGTGTCATATTGCATGGAATCATGACAAATACAGCCCCAAGTAGCTTGTGGAGGCAAGACGTCTGTGTGAGCAAACTTTTTTTGGGGGGGAGGGGAAATGATGGGTGCAGCTCCTGGGATTATTATTTTTTTAAGGTACCACACATCTTCATTGCTAGACCTCATGAGGAAAAGATTCTATAAGGGGGCACTCTCAATATGCATCTTCCTGTGACACGTTGACAAATAGGGTCTGCTTCTTAAGAGTGGAGAAGTAGGAAGGTAAGTGAGTCATAACTGGAGGTAGGAAGTGGATTAATTTTTGAGTCCAGCTGATACATCATGGGGGAGAGTGGCAAGAAGATAAGATATGTCATTGGAAAAAACTGAAATGTAGAAACACATTGTTGAACTTATCTGCACTATAAAGACTTAAAAACAACAACTCGTCTTCCATCTTCTCTTCATGAGTGCTTGGCTTGAAGAAGGCTAAGGTTGCTTAGGATAATCCCAGGAAAAAAATCATTTTCATTTCATGTTGGTATTCTGTATTTATATACACTAATTCTTTCTATGAAACAGATAAGGACGCAATGATACTGTCCAGGCTGAACCCCCCCACAACCTATAAAGCTAGGTGTTACACATTTGGGGGGGACCCTGCTAAACCCTAGAAATTAATAAATAGTAGGAGTTTGATTACTTGGAGTATTGAAGGGAAGATTGCAGGCCAGTGGAAAAAATACAGGTTAAGCAGCTTCTTTTCCAAGACAGGGCTTGGGATACAGGCATTAACAGACAAAAGGTGTTGATGGCCCAACTAAGAGGAATTATTCGCCGGGAAGACAGAGGTTGCCATGGTGATGGGTGTGTGTGCTTGAGGTGATAGGAAAAGAGATTCTTCAGAGCAAGGTGAACTGGGAAGAAGCAGAAGCGGGGAACAAAAGGGAAAGATGCATCTTGTGCATGTGGCGGGCTGGAGAAGTGGCATGGGGGGAGGAATTGGAAGAAGAGGTGAGGGGAGGCCAAGTAGTCCTCCTCCCCACCCCCCAGCCCCAGTCCCAGCCCCAGCCGCTGCGCTTACCTTCCAAGGGGCTGCTGCCACTGCTGCCACCACTGCTGCTGCCACTTCTTCTTGTGGGCAGGCAGAGAGAGCTCGTCCAGTCCGCTCTCTGGCCCACAGGAGCACCAGGGCAGTGGCGGTGGAGGGAAGATGAGTGGCGCAAAAGGACTGGCTCTGGAGAGGGGCTGCTTAAAATGGCGCTCAGCCCGCTCAACCCAGCCCCCTTCCTCCTCTAGGCAGGGCGGGGAGAAGCCAGGAGGAGGGAGGGAGGAGGCGCTGCTACGGTGTGTGTGAGGGAGAGGGGGGGAAATGGAATGGTGCAGGGGGGGAAATGGCGCAGCCTGAATGAACAGAAGCCCCATGCCAATCCATGGACAGTCCGTGGGCTGGATCCTGAAGGCAATTGGGCCTGATCCGGCCCACGGACCTTAGTTTGCCAACCCCTGATCTTGAGCAGGTTGGCTGGGAGAAATGCTCTTTACTCCGGTGCTGCACTGTTGTGGGGAAACACGTCTCTCTTGAGATGGCCATGCCATAAGACCTGGACTCCCTCCATGCAGACTGAAGGTATAAATGTGTGAATAAATCATATTTCTTAAAGCTATGACCGTCTCTGCTGTGTCTTCAATTCTCCAAAGGAGCACAAACCATGGGTGAGCGCCTGGAAGCCCCTGGAATCTTTCTACCGTTTGGCAAAGAGTCGGGGGTGCCACCCAACTTCTGTAACACAAGGTTTCACCAGACCAGATCATGGAACAATGAAATGACCAACATTACACAGGGGAAAGAGCTAAATCTGAAATTGCAGTTTTCAATTCTGTGAAGCCATATATTTTTAATGTTGTGAAACATGGCTCTAAGTCAGGGGTAGGCAACCTAAGGTCCTTGGGCCGGATGCAGCCCAATCGCCTTCTCAATCTGGCCCATGGATGGTCTGGGAATCAGCGTGGTTTTTACATGAGTAGAATGTGTCCTTTTATTTAAAATGCATCTCTGGGTTATTTGTGGGGCATAGGAATTCATTTTTTCCTTTTTCCTTTTTTCAAAATATAGTCCGGCCCACCACATGGTCTGAGGGATGGTGGACCGGCCCATGGCTGAAAAAGGTTGCTGACCCCTGCTCTAAGTGGTGAAACTTGAATATAAATGCCTCTTAATGAACCTTATTTGACAACACCGCCTCCCCTATCCCCCCCCCATTTGCTGAGGAATGGGAACCAGCAGTGTAACAACTTGACTACAGCTCTTTTTGACAAATATAGGACTTGCTTAAATTGGGGGTCTCTTTATTCCAGAGACTTGTTTCTTCTAGCTCTCTCTTGACACCAATGAGGGCTGTGATTGATCAGTCAGCCTGGAAATCAAACTCTAGCTAGGCACGTGCAGCTTATAAATGACAGAGACAGAGCGCTGAAATAAGCATTCCTCCAGGATCTAGCCTCAGAATAGATTTGTGTGTTTTTTTCCTGTCAAAGAAATGGGTTGATGGATTATATTTGCACAGAACCTTCATTTGAAAAGGTACTGTCAGAAGCTGGTGGCTGGCTGTTTAGTTTTCCATAAACATATGAATGTCTAGGCAGGCATGCATTTATGCCTCTGAGTTCTGTTTGCTTGTACAGATGCATGGGTTGGTTTGGCTCTCGAGAAAGCTTTATAGAGGCCCTAAGAGCTAGCAAGAATCTCTGGCACAACTGGATGAGCAGGTGATCCAATAGGTGACATGCCCCCTGGGCTCCTATTATAAAGGAAAGGGGCAAGCAGTTTTAGCATGGTGAGTGGGATGCAAATGAGAACTCTGCCTTGGGGGCTGGGGCTGGACTGCCTGTTTGTGCTGGTGCTGATATCTCTGTGTCTTGGAGGAGGTGACAGTGATGGCTTGAAGGCAGATAGGGCACTGAATGCCTCCTGAGCAGGCATCGACTTGTGAGCAGAGGCTGGCAAGGGCAGAAATTGAGCCCGGTGACAGCAGGGTACAGTGGCATGAAGCATGGGATGGGGCTCACATCTTTATCACCATCTTACCATGAAGCTCACATGACTTGTGTTTGCAACACCCAGGGAATGAGCCTTACAGCTTTGGAAAGAGTAACTGACAATGAGAAAACTCCTAAGTCAGTGTATGTTCACATTAGAACAAATGTTAAGGGAACTGCGATCTCTGAAATAAGGTGCTTTATTTGTGCTCTGTGCTCTTAAAAGAAGGGCCACCTGTTTGAACGGTTTGGTGGCCCTGTTGCATGTGTAGATTTCCTTGCAGGCCTGAGGTCTTCCGAATTTTCTTCCGGTTCCCCCTTTTGCTGCTGCTGCTGCCGCCGCTGCCGCCGCTAGAACTACTGCAGTACAGTAGTTGCTGCTGCTCGGAGTCTCCTCTTGTGCCTCTTGAAACGCCGCAGTGAGCTGTGAACTGCTGCAGTTTCCAGACAGATTAGGGACAGTTTTATTAATGTGAACGGCAGAGTTTTAGCTGCAGAGTTTACCATATAGCCTGCTTTGGTCTCTCTCTTCCTGTTGCTTTGACATCAAGAGCTTGGGTCGAGGGGTAGGAAAGGGTGGGTGTGAGAAGGCCACCAGAAGATTTTTATCTGTACCTATTACTTTCTTTTCTTTTCTTTTTTAAGAGAGCCTCCGACAATCTGGTGATTTCCTTATGTCACCCACCCGGTTCTCTCTCCCCGCGCTCCCCTCGCCTGCAGATAGTATTTGTTATCTGTGCGTCTCCCCCTTTGGTTATTCCCTGTAGCTTCTCCTCCAAGGGGATGGGATGAATCCAATGCTGTGCTTTAGAGGCTTCCCAGATGAAGACAGCCACAGAAGACTGCCTATGCTTTCGGCTGTTAATTTAACCCCGTAAGTGCTGAGATATTTGCTTTTGGGGAGGGAGGGAGCCTTTCATGAAATGCAGGTGCTGAGCTTTAGAGGTATAGGTGGGGTGTTATGGGACTCTGGTTAGCGCTGCCTTTCGTTATCACAAAAGATGCAAGACTGTGCAGAAGTTGAACTTTGATGCGGATTGGGTCCTGTCTTTGAGCATGTGCCATTTGGGATGTCATCCTCAAGTTTGTTGAGTGTGTGTGTGTGTGTGTGTGTGTGTGTCAGTCAGGTGCCTATAAGGAATACACATTTCTGTGTATTCTGTTCATTTCTGGTGAATCTGGACTAGGGAGTTTAACGTGTGGGTCATGGTTGTACTACAAGTTGTTCTTTCAAAAGTGATGTTTCGGTATGTTGGCACTATTGATAGTGTCTGTGCCATGAAGCAGTATTGACATTAAGTAATAAACCAGCTAGATGTTTGAATAGCAACCTAGCTGGGAAATCTGTGACATAGGAATGACGGGCTTAGGGCTTCGCTAGAAATTTAGAAAAGAAAGTCTTTTTTGAACATTTGTTGCATGGGAGGTGGTGAAATGAAATTCTCTTGATAAATAACGGTGTCAAAAAAGATATTCTGAAATTTTTGAAATGGCGTTGCTGCTTATCTTACTTAACCTTAGAAAAGGGACTGACTTTGGTAATATGGTGCCCTGAGCCAAGACAAAATTTGGTGCCCCCTCCCAAATATTTCTCATTTTCACCAAAAAAATCCTTTTGGTACAGATGCTTTTTGGTGGATCTTTTCTGCAGGTACCCATATAAATATAGGATTACTACTACTACTACAACTATGCTATCATCATCATTACTATTTTGCACCCCCTCAGCAAACTTTTTCAGCAGGGGGCCGGTCCACTGTCCCTCAGACCTTGTGGGGCACCAGACTATATTTTGAAAAAAAATATGAATGAATTTCTATGCCCCACAAATAACCCGGAGATGCATTTTAAATAAAAGGACACATTCTACTCATGTAAAAACACACTGATTCCCGGACCGTCCACGGGCCGGATTTAGAAGGCGATTGGGCCGGATTTGGCCCCCGGGCCTTAGTTTGCCTAGCCATGCATTAATGTATCAGTTTAGGTGAGTTTGCCATGCCAGATAAAGTCTACCAACCATGCATTGCAGCCTGCCAGGTGCTTGGTGATTCCCCCTCTCTGATTTTGCAGTTCTGGGCCATCAGCCAAAACAGAAAGTGTGCGGAGGCCCTGGCAGGCCACTATACAGTATACAACTGATGGACTGCATCTGGGGGTAGATCTGCAATCAGGGAAAGACAGCCCTTACTCGCTCAGCCTACAGCTATGGCACAGTACTGGTGCAGGAACTGAAGCCAAAAATAAAATTATTCCTATTTTTTAACCGTTGCTTGCCTGTTTTATGCCAGCTGGGCCAATCTTCAGACTTCAGCTGGGCTGCCCTTCTCCCTCAGGATGAAATACAGAAGGAAATTCTCTGGACCAGAGGTTCCTAAACCGTGGTCCGTGTGAACCACCAGTGGTCTGCAAGCTTCATCAGGCTCCGTGGCATGTCTGTGTTAAATAGTCATACTGATTTTAATTGTATTTTATTGCTTCTTTTATTTCTGATATTGCATTTAATTGTTTTACAATCAAATACACAGGAGATAAAAGAAGCAATCAAGTAAAAATCCATTTAGAAACCACACAGCACATTACAGTTGTTACGGAAGGCAGGAAAAAAATAATTAAGTGGTTCACCAAAACCTTCATCAATTTTCAAGTTTGTTTGGGAGCAACAGCTCTCAATTTCACCTTAAGACTTGTCAGTCTCAGATTTAATGCAAGTCTCCACTTTGCAAGTTGGCTGTTTCTCTCATGTTTAGGAGCATGAATGACATCATTCAACCTTAGCTCGTTCTCTCTTTCTCTCTCACACACACATGCAGAAAACAGTTATTTTCTTCACCCCTCTACACATGGGGTGAATAAAATACTTGTTGCATTTGAAGCAGAACTTGCTAGACTATCCCACAAAGGTAAAACTCTGGGCCGCAAAATGCTTTGCATTGAGGATCTATGTAAAGCTCTGGTTTCTTCATCTCTAGATTCGTTCAAGTTTTTCCAAGTATCCTTCAAATGATATCACCATCTTGCGCCAAGATTTTTGTTAGAGGGGGCCAGGACTTTTGTTAGGGGCACAGAACTGATGTGATTTGGCAGTTAGTTAAGTACCGTATTTTTTGCTCTATAAGACTCACTTTTTCCCTCCTAAAAAGTAAGGGGAAATGTATGTGCGTCTTATGGAGTGAATGCAGGCTGTGCAGCTATCCCAGAAGCCAGAACAGCAAGAGGGGTAGCTGCTTTCACTGCGCAGCGCATCCCTCTTGCTGTTCTGGCTTCTGAGATTCAGAATATTTTTTTTCTTGTTTTCCTCCTCCAAAAACTAGGTGCGTCTTGTGGTCTGGTGCGTCTTATAGAGCGAAAAATACTGTATTTCTGTTGTTTTGCTTGATTGGGGGGGCAGTTGTCCCTCTGCCTCCCCTGGCTACGCCCATGGCATCTTGAATTCAGACAGGTTATAGTAAAAATAAGATGATATGCAAACATGTCTCTTTGATATTATATTGGTGAAATGTTTAGCAGTGTGTCAGGTCGAAATCTGAACTTGTTTTACGGCTGGATTGTTAGGTTGTGGTTTGGCATTTTGGAAAATCGGTAACCAGGCAGAAAGTAGAAACCCAATGTGGAAGCACCAGTGAATATTTGAATGGAATAATGAAACAATGGGTGGTGGGAATGATGACACAGCAGGATTTTTGTTTAAATTGTTGTTGCATTTTGGCATTTGAAATGTTGATGATGTAGGATGTGCAACTGTGGCTGCTGTGGTAACATTTCAGCAGATGACTGGGGCTGCTACTAAAGGGATGTATTCTCCAGAGATCAGTATCTTTGCAGATGCAGCTGAAGCATGTAAATTAAGATGAAGGTGATAAAAGAGAGCCTTATTTGCTGCTGTGGCAAATATACTGTCCCTCACAAATCACTGCCCTAGGTTGCCATCTAGCTGTGCCTAGTAGCTAGAGCCACACTGGATGAGTGCCACTGCTTCAATGTACCAAGCTGAGCCTTTCTTTGACTTCCTTTAAACTTTAACCTATGTCCTCCTGTTTGTGCCTGATTTGTTTTCAGACCTGATGATATTATAGGCAGAGAAGAGGAGTTGTAGGAATTTGGCATTTTCCTCCATAATCGATCACAGTAATTGTGGGAGTAGAAAGAGATATCAGTGTGAGCGAGAATGTCCTTACAGAAAACTTTGCTGTCTGGATTTCAGTAGAACATTTCAGCTGCTATTATTATTAATGTATTAAAACGCTATACTGCCCTTCATCCAAGGATCACAGGGCATTTTACAATACAAAAACACAAAAATATACAACATAGTAATAAACTAAACATCTCCCATATTTCAGTGTAATATCTAGTGTTGTGTGGATGCTGATGTTCTCTTAGAATGCAGGAGATTCAAACATAGCAATCTTAAATAATTCAACAGTTCTGTACTATATATAAAGAACATCAGATACATAATTCATCCCAAAGCCTTTACATTTTCTTGAGACTTGCATATGAAAGATTGCTCTGTGCATCACCGCTCTTGGAATGTAAACCAAATGCTCGTTGTCTGACTTTTATGGGGCTGCAATGGTTAATTGTAAATTGAAGGAGAGCATTGTTGCAGATCTGCTGGTTCTTGTTTTCAAGCCGTTCTGCTTTGTCAAATTATTCTGTAAAAGTGGAGTCTGGTGCGGGGGAAAAGAGCAACACATGTGCAGGCTATATCACCGGTACCTGAACAGCTTGGTCAACAATTTGCTAATAGGCTTCTCTGGGAGATGTGAAATCCAACGTGCTTTGAATCTCTGAAATCCCTTGTGCTGATAATCAGAGCCAGAAACTGGCTAGGAAGGAAGATGGACAAGGAAGTCCAAGGTGGGCTAAAGGAGGAAAAGGCGATCGCAGAGAAGCTGAACGGATTCTTTGCATCTGTCTACACAGCAGAAGATGTACAGAAGATCTTTATGATGAGTTTCTCAGGACAGGAGTCAGGAACTGAGACAAGTAGTGGTTACAAGTGTTGAAGTTCTAGGCTGTATTGATAAATTGACAACAGGCAAATTGCTGGATTTGGATGGGATCCACCTGTAAGTTATTAAATAACTCAAATGTGGCATTGCTGATCTTTTAACAAAAATAGGTAAGTGGTACCTAAGATCTGTACCTGAGAACTGGAAAGTGCCCAGTGTAACACTCATTTTTTAAAAGGGAAATTACAGGCTCATTAGCTTAACTTTTGGGACTTGCAGACCAGGCAGGACCAGATGCAAACATGAGCAGAGCAATTGATGGCACTCCTGCCTTGGCCATGCAAAAAGTTTATATACACAAACCACACATCTCTCCATCCTCTATCCAGGCAAGCAGGAGGCATCATCGCAGTTCAAGGGCACATTCCAGTCAGGCAAAAAGAATGTCTGGTCTGTTGTTTTCTGTTCCTTTTCCAGTCTGCAGTGTCCTTTAGAAAATGAAAAAACACAACCATGAGAACTGTACATAGTCTTCTAAATGCAGCCAAGCTATAGATTCACACGAAGGCATTATGAGGAGGGCAGATTTATTTTCAGTCTGTTCCTAATGATTCACAACATGAAATTTGCTATTTTCTCTTCTGCTGCACACTGAACTGCCCACCATGGCCCTCTCTTTCCTGGATTAGGGATTTGGCTCAAAGTGCATCTCTGTGTACTTGCTTACAGTGAATTGTTTCACCGTTGATCCTTTTGTATGCTCCCCGCCTCCCAGTCTGTTTTGGATTTTAGCATCCTCAATTAATTGGGTTCCATTTGCTGCTTAACTGTTTGCTCCAATTCCAGGTGGCTTATGAATCTTAAATAGCACTTTTTCATCCCAGTACAGCTTACTACCCACCAGTATCACCAGTACGTTGATGAGCTCCAACTCTGTCTCTCTGTTCCATCAGTACCAGGAGAAAGAATGCAAGTACAGAACCAGCTGGATGTGTAATAGGCTGGATGTGGACCAAGAATCTGAAGCTGAGTTCTGACAATATAGAATTACTATGGGTGGGTGGTTCCCATGTCAGGAAAGTGGCAGAATGACCTGTTCTTAATGGGGCTGCATTCCCCTTGAAGGAGCAGGTGTGTCGTTTGGGGGTGCTTCTGGAACCCAGATGACCTCAGTGGCTAGGAGTGCCTTTCCCCCTGCTTTGATATGTGTGCCAACTATGGCTATTTCTAGACAGGGAGAGCTGGCCATGGTTATCCACGCTCTGGTAGCCTCCAGCCTGGACTATTCAATCAGTCAAATATTCATTGCTGTCAACTAGCCATTCAGAAGAGGACAAAGTATAAAAAGTACATAATCACAGCCTCAGAAGAACAGAGGTGACAGGTTCAGAGCTAAGAATTATAGCAAGTCTAAGAGACATTCAGATATTTTGTGACCTGTTCAGTAATGGATTTATTAGGGAACACCCCCCCCCAAGGAATATACTGAAATAGGTCTCTAAGAATTGACCAGAAAACTGTCTAACCCAGGCATGATGGTGGTGGTGGAAACAATGTGTTCTCTGATGCCTTGATACAGGGGTTGGCAAACTTTTTCAGCAGGGGGCCGGTCCACTGTCCCTCAGACCTTGTGGGGGGCTAGACTATATTTCGGGAAAAAATAATAATGAACGAATTCCTATGTGCACTATGCACACCAGGCAGGCCCCACAAATAACCCACGGATGCATTTTAAAAGGACACATTTCATGCAAGAGCACCAGGCAGGCCAGACAGTATTGTAGATGATAAAAATAAAAATATTTTTTTTTCTTACCTGCACTGATGAAAGTCATTGTTTGGATGGGGGGTCCTCGTCTGGGTTTGGGGCTGTGTTGTGACCTGCTGGGCCTCCTGCTGCCGGACCTCTTCCACACTTTGGGGTGGGATGGGGGCCCTCCCGCCGGCAGTGGGGGCCAAATTGCTGCCGCCCCAGCAGCTGGGCAAGCACCATACTGCAGGAAGGTCTCCGGAGGCCTTTTGGCAGTTTGGAGCCTTCCTGCCGGCAGGGGAGGCTAGATCGCCGTCGCGCAGCCAGCAGGGAGGGCTCCGGACTGCCCACAGGAACACCAGGGCGGCGGTGCGAAAGGGCTGGCTGGCTCCAGAGGCACTGCTCAAAATGGTGCTCAGCCAGCTCAGCCTAGCCCCCTTCCTCCACTACGCAGGGTAGGGAGAAGGGCGGGGAGAAGCCAGGAGGAGGGAGGGAGGAGGCGCCATGGTGTGTGTGTGTGGGGGGGGAAATGGCGGCGCCCCCCCAAAATTAACGGAAGAAATAGCAAAGAGAATCGCCAATCCACGGACCATCCCTGGGCCGGATCCTGAGGGAAATTGGGCCGGATCCAGCCCGCGGACCGTAGCTTGCCGGCCCCTGCCTTGATGGAATTTACAGTAGAAAAACATATACAATATCGTCTAGTCCAGCCCCCTGTGTTGCAGTAATCACAGATAAAGAATCCAACCTCTGCTAAAAACAAATCCAACCCCTGCTTGAAAACTTCCAATGAAAGACGAAAACTTCCACGATCACTTCCACTGTTGATGAGTCGCTTCCACCGTCGAAGAACTTTTACCCCAGAAAGTTCTTCCTAATGCTTAATCAGAATCTACTTTCTTGTAATTTGAATCCATTGGTTCGGGTCCAACTCTCTGGAGCAGCACAAAACAAACCTGTTTCATCTAAAACAAGAAGCTTGCTCCATTTTGAATTTTTAGAAATGGTTCCTAGCCTTAATTTAGGTCTCTAGATGACTGTACCATCACAAAGTTATATATGAAGTAGTAGGAAAACAAGGCACAAGAGAATTCCAGTCATGACAGAATATAAAAAGAGAGGCAAGCTATTTATGGTATCAGTTAAAGGCAAACATGAAAAGAAAGCTCTTCAGAGTCCATCGCCTAAATGCCAGAATTGAAGGGCCAGGGCATGTCGGTTGGAAGGTAATTCCATAGATTTGGGGCTGGAACCATGAAGGCCCTATTTCTTGTATATTAACTAATGTTAATATACAGACACTTGAGAAGACCCCATGAGCTTAGAGGCAGGGGTATTTGGGTGAAAGCAGTTTTTTAAGTAAACTGGACCCAAACCATTTACAGCCTTAAATGTTAATCTCAGAACTTTGAATTAGACCTGGAAATCTATTGGTAGCCAGTGCACAAGTGGTGCAAAATTGGAGTACAGTGGTACCTCTGGATGCAAATGGGATCTGTTCCGGAGCCCCATTCGCATCCTGAAGCAAACACAATCCATGTCTGTGCGTGTGCGCGGGTCGCGATTCGCCACTTCCACGCATGCATGTGACGTCATTTTGAGCGTCTGCGTGAGCGGCGAAACCCGGAAGTAACATGCTCCGTTACTTCCGGGTCGCCATGGAGCGCAACCCGAAGACGCTCAACCTGAAGCGTATTCAACCCGAGGTATGACTGTAATGTGTTTGGATTTTCTGGGTCCCCCGTCAGTACCCGTGTTTTGAACCAGCTGTAGCTCCTAGACCATCTTCATAAGCAGCCCCATGCAAAGTGCATCCCAGTAGTCTAGCTGATACTATTTCACAGGTTTCTTGCTCTTTTTCTTCTTTGCTTTCTCTACCAGCTCAATTCCTATTCCCCCGCCCCCCAAAAAGAAAAGTGCTGCAATCAGAATTATGTAAATTTGGCACATATATGCAAATATTTTCAATCTGCATAACTTCTTGATACAGAATTAGATTCCTTGATGCAGGCATCTCTTTGTCGAGAAACAGAGCATGCAATAACCCTTTGATGACTCATGTGTATGTTTTCATCTGTGTTCCCAAACTCCTTTCTCATCTTCCTCACCTTGGTACTCTCTCAGATAATCAAGTCTTTTCAAGTGAGTCACACGTTTCTGGCTCCGTCTGACAGTAAGCGGTGCTTGGGTTCCCATTCAGAAAGTTGCAGCTGTCCAAGAAGCAGAATGTTTCTGCAAAGCAGAAATGGTTATTTTCTCCTGCTTTAATTACTGCAATTACCCCAAAGCACGCTTTGTGCAGAAGATGGCAGCCAGAGCTGACACCACGGTCGGATTTCCCCACCTCATGGGAAATGCCGGAGGCCACAGCTGTGATACTTTGTCATCTCAGGGCAAGCGTCACATTCCAGATTTGAGTACTAATTTCACTGCTTCCATTGTTTTTCATTTCTGGGTTTTGATTAGGTACTTCAGTGCTTCTGGAGTTGATTAATGTCTGTTTTTATTTGCATGATGGAAGCCTTGTGGAACTCTGAAGCAGATGCTCCTTAGGCCACAACCACACAATATATTTAAAGCACTGTGATGCCATTTTAAACAGTCCTGGCTTTCCTGCCTTCCTCCCCCCTACTTGGTGGGCTGCACTGGCAGTGTCCTTCCCCTCCCTCTCTCTCAGCCTGCCCAACAAAGAGAAGGGGGCACCACTGCCTCCCCAGCCCTGAAGGCCTGGCATGAGCATGGCTTGTTGTTGTTTAGTCGTTTAGTTCTGTCTGACTCTTCGTGACCTCATGGACCAGAGCACGCCAGGCACTCCTGTCTTCCACTGCCTCCCGCAGTTTGGTCAGACTCATGTTTGTGGCTTCGAGAACACTGTCCAACCATCTCATCCTCTGTCATCCCCTTCTCCTTGTGCCCTCCATCTTTCCCAACTTCAGGGTCTTTTCCAGGGAGTCTTCTCTTCTCATGAGGTGACCAAAGGATTGGAGTCTCAGCTTCAGGATCTGTCCTTCCAGTGAGCACTCAGGGCTGATTTCCTTAAGAATGGATACGTTTGATCTTCTTGCAGTCCATGGGACTCTCAAGAGTCTCCTCCAGCACCATAATTCAAAAGAATCCATTCTTCAGTGACCAGCCTTCTTTATGGTCCAGCTCTCACTTCCATACATCACTACTGGGAAAACCATAGCTTTAACTATACGGGCCTTTGTTGGCAAGGTAATGTCTCTGCTTTTTAAGATGCTGCTTTTTAAGATGCTGAGCATGGCTTACCTTTCCCCAGCTCTGGCCTTGATGAGGGAGCCTGTCGTGAGGCCCCTCAGAAATTTGCGCCCGTGAAGAAAGAACTCCACCCAAAGAAAAACGGATACTGAAGATGATGGGCTATGCGGAAATGGCAAGGCTGACCGGGAAGATCAGGCACCGAGAGGATAACAAATTCAACAAAGAATGACATAACTTTATAGAATATATTAAAGAACACTGTAAAAAAATTTAAAACATTAGCAGGGTTGATGTAGAGCACTTGCAACTTAAAACGACAAAGGATAAAATTGAAGTATAATAATTTAGATAAATGTAGTTAGATGCAGTTAAAAAGGAAGATAAATTTTGGAAGCCAAGGGAGGGGTAGGGGGAAGTCTGGAGGTTCAGGGAATCCCATAAAGGTACTGATATGGACTATGGTTTAATATGAACAAGTGTGTGTGTGTAAAAAATTATTTTTTTGAAACTTTGAATATATATATATATATATATATATATATATATATATATATATATATGAAATTTGCACCCAGGACCATGGCCCAGGGGCGAAACTAGGCTTTATTTCACCCAGGTCAAAGACCTGGTTTGGCACCCCCAAGTGCATTTACACACACGCACACACACACACACACACACACAGGCTGAAAGCCTCACTGGCTCCCCTCTGGCCTGGAGGCTTCATCCAGGGCAAAATCCTTGGCAAGCCCCACCCCCCAGCTATGGCTCTGCCTTGGCCCCCCTATGCTGTGCCACTGGCTGTGAGGGGGTGTGGTTGTGAATTTGCCAATACACTACTGGCAATAGCTTTAACAGAGAGGGCTGGCCCCTTAGCTGTTATCCCTGAGCTTGTACTGATGTTACTTCCTTGTACAGTGGTACCTCAGGTTACATACGCTTCAGGTTACAGACTCTGCTAACCTGGAAGTAGTACCTCGGGTTAAGAACTTTGCTTCAGGATGAGAACAGAAATCGTGCTCTGGCGGCGCGGCAGCAGCAGGAGGCCCCATTAGCTAAAGTGGTGCTTCAGGTTAAGAACAGTTTCAGGTTAAGAACGGACCTCCGGAACAAATTAAGTTCTTAACCCGAGGTACCACTGTATGCCTGGAAGACATCATGCCATAAAGTTTTATAAAATGACCTTCAATAAGATCTTTTTCTGATCAGACTAAAGTAAGAGACATCCTCTGCCGAACAGTAATTAAAACCGTGTCCCCTCCTCAGTCCTCTATGCACATGGCTGATTGTATCTCAAGCTCCTTTGCATGTGTTGTCTGCTAACACCTACTCATAAACCTTTGTCCCCTTCAAATGCATCTGATATAGTCTCAGAACACCCAGTACTGCCGTAAGAAAGAATATGACTGGTCTCTTTCTACCATGATTAAACCACATAGTTGAAGGAACGTCATCAAGAGATGGATGAATAGCTGTTATGTGGTTGATTAGAAATCCAAGATAAGTTGCTGAGAAATATATGAAAGGGATGCGCACTCCTCAGCTAGAGGTTAAAGCAAAAAGGGGAGGAATAATGGAAAATCTGTATCAGGTGGAGGAGCTTTTCTTGACCTTCCTCTCTAGAATGTGCGTCAAGCATGGCGAGTTTACAGCACACTGCAAGAGAACAGTAACGATTCTCTACATCTGTACCCTGGAGGCTTGAAGCTGAGAGCCTTCCAGAGGCAAGATAAGAGCCTGCTTCTAGACTTCATATTAGCACATGGTTGGAAACAAATGTGTGTATTTAGCAGGGCGGGATTTAGGTTTGATGAGGCCCTAAGCTACTGAAGGTAATGGGGCCCTTTATATGTCCAGCTGTCCTTTGTCAACAACAAATTGTCGCTGTTTTTTGTGTTGAATATATGCTATATGGTAATTTATGGACCTAATACGTTCATGCACAACACAAAACACTGTTGCTGTATGTAGGTTTTATTTTATCTGTTTTTTATCTTATATTTTGGAAATGTACATCCAATTTCCCCCCCTTTTTTTGGCGGCCCCCAAGAGAGTGTGGCCCTAAGCTATAGCTTGTTTAGTTTACACGTAAATCTGGCACTGTTTAGAAACGTGGATCAAAACATTCACCCCTGTGCTGGTCGTTTTGATAGATTAAAATAGTGAGATGGTTATAACACTCCTATGCTCATTATGAAGGTTGTTTTGAGAGTACCCTAGCAACTACTATTATGTATGGTTGAAGGTTGGACTTCCCTTAGTCCCCTTCAGCATAGCCAGCAGCCAAGGCTGATGGGGGAGAAAGTCCAGCGATGCTGGAGGACAACACATACTGTATTCATTTACTCAGAAATCTTCCTCTCTTCCACTGATTAAAAAGCCAACAGGGCAATTGCTCTTTTGGTTAAAGATATACTAGAGAAGCATGATGGTTCTACATACAATGTGTTATCAACTTGTCAAAATGTACTGTTGCTAACACCTACCGTATTTTTCGCCCCATAGGGTGCACCGCCCCATAGGACGCACCTAGGTTTTTTTTGGGGGGGGGGAATAAAGAAAAAAAAAATATTTTCCCCCCAGGCACGGGGCTGGCGCGGGGGAAGCCCGAGCTCCTGACCCCAGCCCCGAGAACAGCCTACTATCCGCAAGCCTCGGGAGCCCGGCGGGAAGTCGCGCCGGGCTCCCTAGGGTTGCGCAGAGCTGCGCAAAGCCCGGGACTGCAGGCAGCTCTGCGCAGCCCTCAGGAGCCCGGCGCAACTTCGCGCCAGTCTCCCAAGGGTTGCGCAGAGCTTCCTGAAGCCTGCATTCGCCCCATAGGATGCACACACATTTCCCCTTCATTTTTGGAGGGGAAAAATTGCGTCCTATAGGGCGAAAAATACAGTACTCATTTAAAGTCCTGATTTTAACCTCTGAAGCCTCGAACAGTTTAGGTCGAAGTTAGTTGAAGGCACATCTAACTGCGCACACATCAGTATCGACAGAGGTCCTCCTCATTTGCCTGCCACCAAGATCAATGAAATTGTCTTGCATGAGCAAAAGGGCCTTTTCAGTGGTGTCCCCCATGCCTTTGGAATTCATCACCAGCTGACTTCTGAAAGGCTAGCACACACACCAGTCCTTCAGAAGGGCTTTGAAGACCTATTTGTTTTGTGAGGCCTACACAACAAATGGCATTTGGGGTTTTACATTCTGGGATGTGTGACTTTTTAAAGTTGCTGGTTTATTACAGTTGTCAGTGCATTGCAGAATTTATTTTTTATCACATTTTTATTCTGTTATCGCTAAAACTATAATTGCAGTGTTGTAAACCACTCCGAGAGAATTTTACAAAATGCATGTGTCAGGGCTGCCTCAAGTCTCAGCCCACAAAAGACCAACGCCTATGCCTTCTTATATACAAAAGTGTTTATTGCAGTTCATTGTTTGCTTGACATCCTAGGCGCGCAGCCCTACGTCTGCTACGCTTAGACCGCTGAAGTCCCCTCTGAATCCGTCCCTCCCCTGCACCAGTTTAAGAGGCTTGCGCTGCTCCACCTCTTTCTCTCTTTCCTTTTCCGCAGGGTCCTTCTGCCCGCTGGGGTTTCGCCCCTCCTGGATTCCTCTGACGCGGAATCAGACTGCTCTTCCCCCCTCCTGCGGGCTTTGGGACCTGGCCCCTCCTCCGGGCTCCCTGTACTTCCGCGCGCCTCTACATTTGAACTTGGCGCGCGCCCAACCTCTAACCTTCCTTTCAACAGCTACACTACTCCCTTCACTACTCCCTCCCCTTCCGGGAGGATGGCTTGCTCCGACCTCCCTCCTTTCTCTGCTGCCGGAGCCGCTTCCCCTGATACACTGAAACCTCCACCCCCTTCGCTGCACTCTGGCGGGGAGGCTGGTCCTGACACCCAGCTGCCACTTTGGGATGCCCCGCTGCCCCCCTGCTCCTGACACGTCCCCCCTGGGGCTCCCCTGGGCTTGACCACCGGCGCCCCCCTTCTGGGAATCCTCTGATTCGCTGGAAAGACTCATGGAATCTCTTGAGTCATTGTCATCCTCTTCCTCGCTGTCCTGGGATTCATCCCCATCGCTCTCCATCTCCTGCCTACCCTGTGCCTCTGTCCCTGAACCCCTGACAGCATGCATTCCAGTCAGCAATTTGGAATCTGAAATTTAAAAAATCTGTAATCTAGAAAGGTATCTGCTAGCAACGGATAACTTAGCCCAAGGGGAATGTTAGCAGTATATTCATTTTTTAAAAAAGTATTAGTAATTTTATTATAATTCCCCATGCCTTTTAGTATAGATCAACCTAAACAGGAACATAGGAATACAGGAAGCTGCCTTATATTGAATCAGACCATTGATTCATATTGCTGGCAATGGTTCTCCAGGGTTTCAGACATCACTCACCTGAAGATGCCAGCGATTGAATTTGGGGGCTGCTGCATACAAGGCAGGTACCCTTACCCCTAAGCTGCGACCCTTTCCTGAATAAATGCAGGGATGATAAAGGGGTCTGTTGCAATCTAGATTGTATAATAGTCTGACTTAAGGCTACAGGACATTTCTGAGAACAGGAGGAAGATGTGCAATCATTTAAGATTGCACCTCTTTAAGACAGTACCTCAGGTTAAGTACTTAATTCTTTCCGGAGGTCTGTACTTAACCTGAAACTGTTCTTAACCTGAAGCACCACTTTAGCTAATGGGGCCTCCCGCTGCTGACACGCTGCCGGAGCACGATTTCTGTTCTCATCCTGAAGCAAAGTTCTTAACCTGAAGCAATATTTCTGGGTTATGTAACCTGAAGCGTATGTAACCTGAAGCGTATGTAACCCGAGGTACCACTGTACACCAAGGGCCTTTGTCTTCAGTTTACTTATTTGTCTACAGCAATATTGATGCTTCCCCCCCTTTTGTTTCAGTCTTGGACTAGAGCTCATCCTGTCACACTTTTAAATTATACCGAAAATGTAAGGATCACCAGCTTTTTGCAGAGCAGGGTAGAATAGCCATGTGCATAAAGCAGGGCTGCTCTCTTCAAATGCAATGACTGTACTGTCTGCAATAACTGAGCCACCAGAGAGCAGCAGTAGGGAGGTCTGGACATACTCTGGGCAAGGACGAAAACAGCGAAACCAGGAAAAGTTAAATGAGGCGACTTGTGTACATCATACAAATTAAGTAACTTTACATATGCTGTCTTCTTTTGCATACTGTTCTCATCCACTTGTTACCTGCTGTTTTTAATGCTTTATAAAATAAATATTTGCCTTCCATTGGGAAATGCAAATAGATCTATGGGCACACACTGAAGCCCCATCTCCTAGGTACGGGAAATCCTGTGTCAGGCATTGCCTAGTTAAACGATGGAACTTGCTCCCGCAGGAGGCAGTGATGCCATACAACTTAGATGGCTTTAAAAGAGGATTAGACAAAATCCTGGAAGAGAAGTCTATTGATGGCTACTAGCCATGCTGGCTAGGCTGTGACCCTATGGTCAGTGGCAGTAATGTTACTGGAAACCTCAGGAGAGAGTGCTCTTCTGCTTGGTCCCTGCTTGTTGGTTTCCCACAGGCATCTGGGTGGCCACTGTGAGAGCAGGAGACAGTGGTAAGTACTTAATTTGTTCTGGAGGTCTCTTCTTAACCTGAAACTGTTCTTAACCTGAAGCACCACTTTAGCTAATGGGGCCTCCTGCTGCCGCCGTGCCGCTGGAGCACGATTTCTGTTCTCATCCTGAAATAAAGTTTTTAACCCGAGGTACTATTTCTGGGTTAGCGGAGTCTGTAACCTGAAGCATATGTAACCTGAAGTGTATGTCACCCAAGGTACCACTGTACTGGACTACGATGGGCCACTGGCTTTTCTTATGCTCTTTTGTGCTTAATCACACCAGTGGCTTTTTGCAAGAGTTTTCCAGAACCATATACAGTGTCAGCAACAGAATTGAGATGCCACTACAATGAATTCAGCTTGACTTTTTATGTTTTTCATTTTAAGATGAAATTGGGGGGGGGGGGTTGACTATATAGAAAAGGCCACTGCATAATTCAGAATGCGGCAGCCAAACTGGTGACTGGAAATGGCCGCTGAGACCACATAACACACCGGTCTTGAAAGACCTACATTGGCTCCCAGTACGTTTCTGAGCACAATTCAAAGTGTTGGTGCTGACCTTTAAAGCCCTAAATGGCCTCGGCCCAGTATACCTGAAGGAACATCTCCACCTCCATTGTTCAGCCTGGACACTGAGGTCCAGCGCCAAGGGCCTTCTGGCGGTTCCCTCAGTGTGAGAAGTGAGGTTGCAGGGAACCAGGCAGAGGGCCTTCCCGGTAGTGGCACCCGCCCTATGGAACTCCCTCTCATCAGAAGTCAACAATCTTACTTTTCTAAAAGACACATGAAGGCAGCCCTGTTTAGGGAAGTTTTTAATGTCTGATGTTTTATTGTGTTTTTAATATTCTTTTGGGAGTCACCCAAAGTTGCTGGGGAAATCCAGCCAGATGGGTGGGGAATGAATGAATAAATAAATGAATAAATAAATAAATAAACCATCCAACTTTTTCAGACCCAGGACACGCATCTTCTGTGATGTGCTTCCAGGCAAGTCACATGATCCGTGCCTTGCTCTCACCCCAAAAATGTACTTCTTTCGGGGTGAGAACACAGCACAAAAGTGCAGAACGCAAAGTGGCTGCCACGATCTTGCACAAAAAATGGGATGTCCTGTTTTTTCCTGGGCACTTGACAGGTATGCCACTGTTAATTATACTATTCATCTTCAGCACATTAAATGTTTATGATATAAGATTTGCCTTTCTGTCCTTTCCTCAGTCGCAGCCACACAAATAGACCATATTTCCATTATACAGGCACCCACATAGACACTCTTCGCTATCCCTGTGGGAATGTCTGAGGAATAACTTATTGGTCTTTGTGAAATTAACTTTTGAGATGAATATTTGCCTCTTTACTTTCATTTTTAAAGTGTATTAATACTCACGGCAGTCAAGAGAACCCAAGGCACAGCTTAAATAAAATATCAGAAATCCAAAGTGTGAAAAATGATGCTTGGCAGCACTTAATATCCTTTACGTGTCATCCATTTTATTTGCCAGCGCTGCTTGGGATCCTGCTTTCTTTTATATCAACACGCAAAAGTGGAAGGGGGAAATGAAGTGAATATTGCATACGAGGGTTAGGACTGATTCTAAGACATGAATCTGGATGCCACATAGGTCAGGTGCAGCACAGAGGCCTGGTTATGTAAGCTACGACAGGCACAACATCACGTTTGTTCTTGATGTACAGCCTTAGAAAATCTATGACCTTGTTTTGCCAAGGCTGACAGCCAGCATATTAATCAGTGGTTATTAATTGCCATAGTATTCGCCTATGGATGTGATCTGGGAATGAGGCAGAAAATGCCATAATGTTCCTGAGTAAATCACATGGCTGCACAGTTAGTACTTCAAAAAGTTCTGGCCAGCCTCCCCAAAAGCATCTACTGTGGTCTGTGGATAAGGGAACGCTGGATATTAGGATGCTTCATATTTATGCTATGGCTCAATACCAAGGGGGTTAAAAGAACATCACCTCTATCCCAGATAGTAAAGATAAAGGGACCCCTGACCATTAGGTCTAGTCGCGGACAACTCTGGGGTTGTGGCGCTCATCTTGTTTTATTGGCCGAGGGAGCCGGCATACATCTTCCGGGTCATGTGGCCAGCATGACTAAGCCGCTTCTGGTGAACCAGAGCAGCACACGGAAATGCCGTTTACCTTCCTGCCGGAGTGGGTACCTATTTATCTACTTGCACTTTGATGTGCTTTCAAACTGCTAGGTTGGCAGGAGCAGGGACCAAAAAACAGGAGCTCACCCCGTCACAGGGATTCGAACTGCCGACCTTCACATCGGCAAGTCCTAGGCTCTGTGGTTTAACCCACAGCGCCACCTACATCCCTCTATCCCAGATACTGTACCCTTATTTTAGCTCCTGTGACGTACACACCCATACATTCTCTAGAGGTGGTCCCATAGCGTGAAGACTGAATGAATGAGGGCTGGCGAGAAACAATGTTTCTACCCAGAATTTGTGAAACAGAGAGACCAGTCCTATGTACTGTACAGTGGTACCTCGGGTTAAGAACTTAATTTGTTCTGGAGGTCTGTTCTTAACCTGAAACTGTTCTTAACCTGAGGTACTACTTTAGCTAATGGGGCCTCCCGCTGCTGCTGCACGATTTCTGTTCTCATCCTGAAGCAAAGTTCTTAACCTGAGGTACTATTTCTGGGTTAGCGGAGTCTGTAACCTGAAGCGTCTGTAACCTGAAGCGCCTGTAACCTGAGGTACCACTGTACAAGAAACTGGTGTAAGTTAAGCCAGTGTAAAGCTATGCCAGATCTAAACCCTGTTCAGCAGTGAGGCTGCTGCTGCACTGACTAATGCTGCCAGGTGGAAAACAAGCCTTTAAAATAGTAATCTGCGCTGGGTTGGCAGGCCATCTGACCAAGCTAAATGGGTTTAGGGTCATGTCCACATTCTGCTCCTGCCACCCTGCCAATATATCCCTTTTGTGGACTGATACCAGCCTTGGCTCAGCCACCTTAAGCTTGGCTCAACTAGGGAGAGCAAGTTACTCCAGGGGACTTAAGGTTGGGGACTTAGCATAGAACTGCCCCTAATTCAAATAGAAACTTATTTGTGAATTTATCAAATCTAATTTCTGTTTCATTTAGAGTATTCCTTGCTGATGTCACTGATTCTACTCAGCAAAAATGAAGAAGAAAGTGCATTAAAGAGTAATTGCTTAGTAAAAGTACTAAAGTACTAAAGGGTAATCAGGCACTGGCTGATAAGGAATGGAAAGATGCTAGCTTGCTTAGCTAGCAGCTTGCTTTATCTGGTTGCCTCGGCAACACAGGAGGAGGTTGCTCTTTGCTATCCATGGTTGTGCAACTGTTTCCGTCTACATACTGCAGCCAGGCAAAGGGTCAGCAATGGGCTTGTTCACATTTGAGCATTATTTAGCTGTTAATCCACTTCCCCCCCATTCGAATTAGACTGGAGTAGTCCACAGTCATGCATACAGTATTGAGATTTGTACATGAGATGCAGCTGGGGTCTTTCTCATTCCCATCAGTGGGTCTTCCTTCTTGTGTTTGTCCCTTTCTTCTGATGTGTTGATTATGCTGTGCTGATGGGGCATGCACACAGATAACTGTGCATGTACCATTATTATTATTATTATTATTTGAAAATCTACTGAGGAAGTGCACAAAAGCGATAGTCAGCCATCTGTCTGTCTGTCTGTCTGTCTGTCTATCTATCTATCTATCTATCTATCTATCTATCTATCATCTATCATCTACATTCAGGAGCATGCCAGGAATACTTACCACCACATCGGTAAAACAAATAAAAGCGATTGTAAATTCACAGCACACACTTTTCAGATAAATTTGCCGCTCAGTATCTGGTGTTGACTTTTAAATGTGGTTTGTGCAGTTTCCTGGTTTTGTGCAAATCTGAGGGATCCAGGGAGAGAGAGAAAGAGGGGGAGAATGGCTTGGAAGAGAAATGGAAGCTTAGAAAGAAAGTAGTGGGTACAGCAAGAGGAGTAGCAGAAAGTGACGTTTGATCCACCCATCCAAAAACACAGAAACAAATTGTCTGTGGACCCAAGTGGATTGGTTTGGAGCTTGTTTTCCTCCCAATTTATCCCTGTATTCATAACTCATCCATGTCAAGTGAGTTTCCTCTTTGCTTAAGAACATGAGATCTGCCTTGCTAAAACAGACCAGCAAGTGTGTTTGTTCAGCAAAGTTCACAAGAATCATAGAACTGCATTCAATGACCTTTTGAAATTAATTGACCTAAATTAGTCATGTCTGTTAATTTCAGCAGGTCTACTCTTGAGGATGACTAACATTGGGTGCAATTCATGGCAGCTAGCAGTTGCAAGATGGTCCTCTGGAAACTGGCCAATGCTCCACCAGCAGACCACAGTCTACCATCACCACATCCATTGGGTCTTTTGGCCCTTGAAATCACCCTTAATGTTTATAATAGGTGGATTAAACAGTTTTTAGAAGTTATTTGCTCACCCTGAACCTGGATTACCTGCGTCATAATAACAAAATACACAAATTTCCCATATACTTCCCATTTTGAAACTATTTCCCATTCTTTCAAGAGTCTGCATGGTGCAGTGGTTACAGTACCACACTAGGACAAAAGTTTCAGTTCTCTCTCAGCCATGAAGCTCACTGGGTGAAGCTTGGACTAGTAACTATCTCTCACCCTAATTTGCCTCTTGGGGTTGCTGTTAGGATAACACATAGTAGGGTTTCACCCATTAAATGATCAGAGCAGCTTGATAAACTTGTGCTGTTAAGAAGGATAAATTATATTGATATAGGGCTGCCTAACCTGTGCCAGGTAACTAAAGACAGAGAAAGGGATTGTGGATTCAGAGAACAGTGATGCTGGAATATTGGAGGACCAGGTAACGGGAACTCTGCCACATTCCTATTCCAGGGAGGTGCCCTTGGCCCTACTGTACTACATTGGCTAAGCTTCTGCAATATAGCTTGTACGTGGCTTCCCTGGCTGTTCTGTGGGGTGGGTCCCCCCCCCCATTTAAACAAGTGAGTGCAAGAGGATTTTTATTTTTCACTTGTCTGTAAAATATTTCCCAAGCAGCTCCCTTCTGAAGAAAGAGCTGGAAGAGAAAATGCCTTCTCTGCCACCCAGGCACTTAACTCATTTCGGAAATTTTCTCTAATGGTCCCTCTGCTGAGATTGTGGGTAACAGGGACATGATGGATAGAAGTGGAATTTAGGAAGCAATTTCTACATGCTTATTACAAAACGAGTTTACCCGTTGGAACTGTCTGCCTCCTTCCCTGGCTCTGTGGCTCCTGGGAGTTCAGAACAAGTTTTAAAGATTTCTGCCTATTAGCTCTGTGCAGAGGGGAAATGAGAGCAATGGCTCCCTTATGGACATGGCGTCTGGTGCCTCGCATGTTACTTGGCACACTTCCCATCTTTGCAAAGGAAAAGCCCCGGCAGTTGAGAGTTCAGCTAAAGGGAGATGCTTAGGATTGATTCACAGCCATCCCTTTTGTCAACATCTGCTTCATCTGCTTAGCAAAATGCTCATCACTTGAAAGCTGCGGCTGCACTTGATGTGTAAAAGGAAACTCGCAGTTGCGGAAGGGAGAACATCCCAGATTTCACTGCCAAGGAAGCAGACTGGCAAGATTGCTAGAAAACTCCCCAAGCCCAGATTAAGTAAGGCCCTCTTTTTTGCACAAGCATTTTGGGTGGAATTTGAGTCAGAGCAGCCTTTTCCATCTCTTGGTGCTTTATTCTGTTTAGTTGTTTGCTTATTTGTTTGTTCCTGTTGTTAAATGTTGTGTTCATACGCTGTGCAAATTATTTTCACACTTTTGAACACGCCATAACCTTCCGAATACGAGGAGTTAAGGAATATTTTTAAATAAAGTAAAAATCTGAGCAGAATACAGTGGTACCTCGGGTTAAGTACTTAATTCGTTCCGGAGGTCCGTTCTTAACCTGAAACTGTTCTTAACCTGAAGCACCACTTTAGCTAATGGGGCCTCCCACCGCCTCACAGTTTCTGTTCTCATCCTGAAGCAAAGTTCTTAACCTGAGGTACTATTTCTGGGTTAGCGGAGTCTGTAAGCTGAAGCATCTGTAACCTGAAGCGTATGTAACCTGAGGTACCACTGTAGTCATATACAGTGGCCCCAAATGGCCTTGCATTTAGCCATAGGTGATAAGGTGTAGCACCCTGCTTGTGGTTAACGCTTAGCTGGAATGAAATATTCAACGCAGCAATAGAGAAATTAAAATAATAATTTATTTGTCAGACAAATAAATGATAGGCACAGTGGTATATGGTTACCAAAGCTCTGCCCCCCTCCAGCCCTGATGGCCAGCACTTATATTTCCTCAGCCCAGCCCCTTGCTCCTCCTTTGGCTGCCTCTGTCCAATCAGCCTGGTTGAAATTCCTATTGGCTGTTTGCTAGAACCAATCATAAAAGATACACCCATTTCCTATTACCTTTTATGGGAGACAAAGAGCTATATTTCCTTCTATCCATAAATGGCAGACAAGTAGCCATATATCTTACATTTGCCTCGACAAGGCACATTAATTACTAGATCACCTTTTGCCCCTGTTGTCCCTGCATTCCAAAACAAATGGCTAAAACAAATGGCTCATGGTATTAAATTCTATCTAAACAGAGATCTTGGGTTCACATTCTCACACACCATCAATGAAATAAGAATCTAACATAAGAATCTAACATTTCTTACTTTCTAAATCCTTTGCATAATTACATTAAGCCAACAAATCTCATACATAACATAGATAGCTTTTTAGATGAAAAGGCCTTTGCAAAGTAAAAAAGGAACTCAGTAAAAACAGCTTCAAAAGAAGCCTCTTCAGTTTACACCCTCCTTTCCCAGCCAGCTGCTTTTCCCATTAGCTCTTCCCAAAATTTATTGCCCTTAATATGGCTAGAGTCTGATGGGAGGCACATGGTACTATTTTCTGTTAAACAATAAATCTTACTATTTACCAACTCTTAATTAGTGTTTTTGCAGCTTGATTGTATTCTGTAATATGTAGGGTCAGTGTAACATTTGCTCCCAGCCTGTAATTCCCTTTTACAACTTTGAGAAACTTGTCTCCTGCTACTGTTATAAATCAGGGGGGGCCCTTGTTCAGGAGAGCAGGGAGATAAACAACTGCCAAAGTACTTAGCCAGCTGGTTTCTGCCTGGCATGAAACATACAAACATTTGCAAATATATCTTTAAGCTCATTTTAAAATACAGGCCTTGATCAGATGCCTCAAAGGAATTGCATGCACATGTTTAAGTGGGGTGATGGAGGAACAGGGGTGGTCCACCCCATTTCGCCACCTGAGGCAAAATGGGTATGTGCTCTCTCCTGCCCCCAACCCTCCTGGAATGCCTCACCCGCACCACCATTTCTGCCACTGCCAGAACCCCGCTTTCACTGAGTTTCAGTAAGGGTTTTGCAAGGCCTTGCCACTCAACTTCTCCACCCTAGGGGCGGGGGAAATGATCAGTAACATGGCATGCAGGAATGCCTCCCTCTTACTTAAACCTGGTGAGGGGGGCTGTTCCAGTAGGAGCGGAGTGGGTGGGGTGCTGCCTCTGTGTTTCCGCCACATGAGGCAGCTGCTTTCTTCCACCTAACGGGTGGGCCGGCTCTGTGGAGGAGGGAGAAAGCATATTGTCCATCCTTCCACCCAGTATAAAAATGTAGTGAGTTTATGCAGCAGGGACAAATTCTCTCTGCTCCTCTATCTATCAAAACAACACACACACATTATATTAAGGGAAACAGCTTGCAGAAGTGTCTATATTTTACAAAATGGCATGGGAAAATGTGTATATTAGGAGAAATTTGCACTGAAATGCAGAATATTTTTTTAAAAAAAAACAACAACACAAATTGCTGCAGAAATATGGAGAACTAAATTTAAGACCAGAAAAAGCAGAAACAGGTCCATCCATTCCTAGGTACAAGTTATAAGATTTGTGTGTTCTTTGCGTGGGCAACTGGCTTCTCTACAGAAGGCTCCACTGACCAGAGCTACCAGAGCATGCATTTTCACAGAACAGGAGCAAAATATGTGCTGCTCAAAGACCTTTTGTACTTGCAATCTGGTTCCCGTGTGATTAATGGTGTGTGCTATGAGCTGTGACCCAAGCTGAAAGTACTATGCAGGTATGAGAGATCTACTGAGTGCTCAAAGGAAGGGCAACCTCTCCTCTCTTCAGAAAGCACCAGAGTGATACAAAAACCCAGGAAGCAAATGTCACCTCTTAATAACTGGGATTGTAATACACCCAACAGTAAAAGATGCTGTTCCGAGTTGTACAGAGACTCTGATTTATTGCAGGCTACGAAGCAAAATGCACACATCGTGTGAGCAGGACACAGGGCTTGCCCAGATTCCTTTTGTTCTTCCTCTCGGTTTGTCTTTGGTTGGCTGTAGTGAGATTCGTTTATATGTGTGAGGGCGTGGATTTTTGGATCAGGTTAGCCATATTGATTCGTATGCTCTCTGTGGATTCTTGTAACTGTCTTGTTGGGCTATGTATGTGATAAAGGGGAACCATACCGGAGTGAAGGCGTCGTCTTCTATTTGTCCCCACGTCAGTTTCAGTTTATTGGCTAGCTTTTCTAGTAGTAGTAGTAGTAGTAGTAATAATAATAATAAATTTTATTTATACCCCACCTTCCCCAGCCAATGCCGGGCTCAGGGTGGCTAACAACCAATAATAAAAACAAGTTGAATGAATACAACTTAAAAACAAGACTAAAATGCAACATTAAAACATTAAAACATTAAAATGCAGCCTCGTCACAGGAGGAGAAAGGAAAAAAGAAAAAGGGGGAGGGAATCAAATTGACTCCAAACCAAAGGCCAGGCGGAACAACTCTGTACGCTGTTTCCCATACAATTTGATACCATTGGTCCATGTTTACTCCTAACAGGTCTCTACAGTGTCTGGCTATGATTCTTCTGGCTGCTGAGAGTAGGTGGGTTTCGAGCGCTTTATAATGTGAGTGGGCGTTATTATCTTGGAAGATGTTCAGTAGGGCCAGTTCTGAGGTGACTTCTAATACCTGCTTAGTTATTTTGCATGTTTCTTGCATGACTGATGTCCAGAAGAGTTGGATTTAGGGACATTCCCACCACATGTGGAGGTATGTGCCTGTGGAGGTGCAGCTTCTCCAGCATTTTGGTGATGCTCCTGGGCGTATCAGCACCAGTTTCCATGGTTTTAGGTACCATCTGTAAGTGATCACTATATCGCTAAAGGCCTTTACAATGGACAACAGGGAATAAAAGGAAATTTTCATCTAAAATCATACAACGTAACCTATACAAGTTTACAGCATAAAAAGAAATTTACGACATTGAAAGACCTACTTTGGCTCCCAGTACGTTTCTGAGCACAATTCAAAGTGTTGGTGTTGACCTTTAAAGCCCTGAAGGAGCGTTTCCACCCCCATCGTTCTGCCCGGACGCTGAGGTCCAGCGCCAAGGGCCTTCTGGTGGTTCCCTCATTGCGAGAAGCAAAGCTACAAGGAACCAGGCAGAGGGCCTTCTCGGTAGTGGCGCCCGCCCTGTGGAATGCCCTCCCATAAGATGTCAGGGAAATAAACAACTATCTGACTTTTAGAAGACATCTTAAGGCAGCCCTGTTCAGGGAAGTTTTTAATGTGTGACATTTTAGTGCATTTTTGGTCTCTGTGGAAGCCGCCCAGAGTGGCTGGGGAAACCCAGCCAGATGGGCGGGGTACAAATATATTATTATTATTATTATTATTATTATTATTATTATTATTATTATTAAAACTTAAGATTGGAATGCATTCACCTAGCTGGAATGGAGCTTCTTGGCTGCCAGGTAGCCAAATTTCATGCTTTAAGCATGGTCTGTGTGGACCTGTTTAGCGCTGTGAGGATTTTCCTCTGTTTGGGAGTAATGGGTATGCTGTGGTGGGGGTATTTTCAATTATGTCTCTAATTTTCTGTTTTAACAGCAATGTTCAAAATAGCTGGGTGAAGAAAGAGACTCTTTAAAGGACATTTTTACACATAAGACGGAAAGCAGCTCTTGACCCAGTTAGTTTTTAAAATATATAGTTTATGGGAGTGTTCACTTTTTTTTTTACTTACACTGAAACAGTTCAGAGTTCCTGTTCTTCTCCCCTGCCCCTCTTTTTAGTCTCCCTCCCCAAATCATTAACCCCTTTTGGCATTGACTTGTTCTCTCAATAACAGCTGTAGTCAATTGCTGGTAGGTCCCCACCCATACGGGGACGCGGGTGGCGCTGTGGGTAAAACCTCAGTGCCTAGGACTTGCCAATCGTATGGTCGGCGGTTCAAATCCCCGTGGCGGGGTGAGCTCCCATCTTTCGGTCCCAGCTCCTGCCCACCTAGCAGTTCGAAAGCACCCTTAAGTGCAAGTAGATAAATAGGTACCACTTTATAGCGGGAAGGTAAACGGCATTTCCGTGTGCTGCGCTGGTGCTGGCTCGCCAAAGCAGCTTCGTCATGCTGGCCACGTGACCCGGAAGTGTCTTCAGACAGCGCTGGCTCCTGGCCTCTTAGTGAGATGGGTGCACAACCCTAGAGTCGGACACGACTGGCCCGTACGGGCAGGGGTACCTTACCCCACCCATACATTTAAAGCACATCCAATTCCTATTAAAAGCACAAGGCTTCCCCCAGAGAATTCTGGGAATGATAGTTTGTTAACTCTAGTGGGAATCATAGGATTGTTATGGGAAAACTACAGTTACCTGGATTCTTTGGGGGGGGGTTATAGTGTGCTTTAAATGTGCACTGAATGCACTTTAAATGTATGGAGTGGAGCTGCATATATGTGGAGGGGCAGGGGAGCTCCTCACAGAGACAGGGCTCACTATAATGAGAGTTCAATACTACTGTCAGTGTTTGGTGCCACAGTGGCTGTGCTGCAGAGGCTGATTTGCACATGCAAATATATGTCAGGAAGCCCCCTCTGTTTTTGCTGCTGTCTTTTCCCCCCTTCTCCTTAAGTAATGGGAAGTTCAAAGCTGTCTTTCATGGGACGCTCTCCATAAGAGACATGAGCACTTTGCAAAAATCTTACTTGGCATTCATAATTAGTGAAAGCAGAATCAGTGTAGCCTCCAGAGTCCACAAAGACACATCTCTGTTTCAGTTACCCGAAACTACCAGCTCTAAGGTAATTGCGTTTTAGATCCAATGTGTGCTTTGATTTCTCAGAAACCCACATGGCTGCCCAGGCAAACAGGTGTAGAAGGTTTTTTGCCCAGATTAGCTAGCTATTTAATCACTTAGTGGTTGCTTTCATAAATTAGGGATGTAGGGTGGGTCTTGTCTCAAACAATCTGGATCTCTAAAGGGAAGTGATAGTCCCATTTCATCACTGGCAGGTTAAAACTAGCCATTTGAAGAGCAAGATAAACTGTTTTCTTGTGTGATAACTACTGCTAAAAATGCTGAAAGCAAGCTTTTGAGACATGCACGACTCATAATAATAATAATAATAATAGCCCACCCACAGATGCTCAGAAAAGAAGATATGGCTGTCCCAGGCAGCAGATTTACCCACCCATGTTTCTGGACTCTATTGTCTCAATATGGAACAAACTTGCTCTGTCTTGGTGCTGCAAAAACTTCTACTATAGTTAAAGAGCACAATCCAGTACTGTAATGTTTCCCCCTTCTTCTGTCTATTTCAGCCGACAAAGACTCTAGTATGATTCACAAGCTGCTTGCATTCAGTGTTTTAAATGCTAGTTGCTTCAAATAAAAGTGCCGTGTGCCCTGCTCTGTGGGACCAGTGCTTACAAGCAAGACTTTGCTTTAGCTTTATACTTTAAAGAATAAATAAATTACTAATCTTTGCAGTAGCACCAGGCTTTTCCCCCTTAAAGAGCAATAACTCTCCCCCCCCCCTCTCAGCGCTAGTCACTGGTATTTTTCACGCCTTATCATGAGGAAGGTTGTACTGTCTCTCTTGTTACACAGCTCCTGGATTTCAAAGAGCATCAGACAGGTGTCCAGTGTCCTCTATCCAAAATTAAAAAGTGACACCGAATGTTGTGGCATAAGTAAGCGTTGCCTAGTAATGACAAAATCTGCTTAGAAAACTTCTAGTAGCAAGAACACCTTGTACTGTTTTGGGAATAAGAATCAAAGCAAGAAATGGAAGAATCCACTCGGGGGCAAGGGAGGCATGCCTATTAATTTATTCTTTCATTTAATTTTTCATTGATACCCTGTCTTTCAGCCTGCTAGAAGTCCTCAAACCATCTTTTCATCAAAATGATAAAATAAAAAGATTGCATATTCACCATAAAACAGCACGATGCTTTTGTTATGCACCCACCCATCCAATGATTGCAGCAAATTTTGGGTTGCTGTGATTCACTGCTTATTTCTAAGGCTGTACCCTGAATATGGATCTAGATATGTTTCAGAGCCATTTAACTCTCCCAGCTCCCAACCAAGGAACCTGGGAAGTGGGTGTTCCATGAAGGACTTAGCGATTTTTCACAAGAACTCCTAGCATTCTCTCAAAACCACAACTTCTTTCTTGTACTTTTGACACTTAAGAACATACTGTAAGAAGAGCCTGCTGGATCAGGCCCATCTAGTCCAGCATTCTGTTCTCACTGTGGCCAACCAGATGCTTGGGGAAAACCCACTAGCAGGACCTGCAAGCATTACTGCCTCTGCCATGGAGGCAGAGCAAAGCCATTGTGGCGAGGAGTCACTTGCAAGTGGTGAGTGTCATACAAAACCCAGTGTGCAAACGAGAAGCTGGGGACTTGCAACATCGATGTGAGGGGCACAGACCCAAACTGTGCTTGCAGTATAAAAATACCCCACTAGTTAGTAATTTCTGCACTATACTTTCTTTCCCCTCCATTTCTTTTAGGACTGCGTTCAAACACCCATGATGGAAGCTACAGTGGAACCTCGTGTTATGTACTGCCCTCCTTACAAATGCTTTGGGTTATGTACTCCGCTAACCCAGAAGTAGATGCCCCTTGTTGCAAACTTTGCCCCGGGATGCGAGCGGAAGTGGCGCGCCAGCAGTGGGAGGCGCCATTAGCGAAAGCGCGCCTCATGTTCAGAACAGTTTCGGGTTACAAACGGATCTCCGGAACGAATTAAGTTCGTAACGGGAGGTACCACTGTACTGTTTTGACGTGCTCTTGGAGGACCAAATCCACCTCCAACCTCTGCAGATCTGTTTGTTCAGCGTACACTGTCATGTCTTGTTCCTTTTGTTGACTTTTCTGCAAGGCTGGATTCCTTAGGAGTTCCTACCTGCTCATGAAATGCATCTAGTTCTATTGTTTTCGACATTTGGCTCTCCAGGAGGCCTCCTTACAAACTCCTGACTTGATGCTCAGATGCCCTGTTCTGTTCGTCATAATGAGCATTCCGCTAATAAACATTGGTCAGGAGCAAGTGACACAGGTGGCCACTGACCACAGAGAAGCAATTAGGAAAGCGAAAACAGCATCTGCAAGGAGCAAGAGTGCATCAGCTGCTAGGCAGCGTGTGTCGGGGCCCCACAAGGGTTAGGTTTGACGGCTTAAAATTACTCACAGCTCCTTACAAGGAGGAAATTGCTCAACTGAATTTTTGTGAAGCACTAAGATAATGCATACTACTCTCTTTCCCCTTACTTGAGTCAACCCAGTCACAAAGGGAGTCTGAGAATGCAAATATTATCTCCTTACGTACTTGCCTTCCATTGAATGACAGAATAATGTATTTGTCTGAGAAAGAGTTTCATCTGTGCTAGCAGATCTGTGATGGACTACAACTAAACTAGGCAGCAGCTATCAAGGGAGAACCATGGCTGTGGATCTCTTGATTTTTCCAGCATCTTTGTATTTGTTTCTTTCATTACCATCTAAAGTTGTGCTTGGAAGAGATCCATTTCTCTTTTGCACTGCTTTATAGTATCTAGGGCTTTTGTCGTGGTGTTTCCCACTGTCCCGTCTTATGTGCTTAGATGTCTTTGCATGTCATCTGCCAGTCTTTCTGAAATGCTGTCAGCATAGCATGTCATTTTGGAAGCAGCCCTTCACCCTGAAATCTCTCTTTCTGTCTTTCACATTATTTGGACACTTCTGCAGGAATATGTGATGTGTACGTACGCAATAATGCCCCCCAGGCGCAATGAAACTCTTTTGCCTCCCCTGCAGTCCTTCAGACATTTTGCCCCTCAAGGACCTCCAAATTTGTCTTTAATTTTGTGTTAGACAAAACTCAGCCAATTTTACCGTGTGCAGATCTCATCCAGGAATTTCCCGGCTCATCTTCTGGCTTTCCTCCAGATTCCTAGGAGTTTTATTGGAGACTTTGCTTTTGCTTTTTGCCTTTAGGTTGCTTCAAATTTCAAAAGAAAGCCATTTAGTGCTGCAGCCTGTTAGCTTCTCCTTGGCTTTTGCCCACCCCCCTTCTCCTACCTCCCTTGACTTCAAACAAGGCACACACAAAAAACTATTTAGCAACAGCTGAAGGCCTATGCTGGAGGTCACCAACTTTCCCCTCCTTCTGCAGGGTGGGACATCTGGCCTGAAAGGGGGAGATGGAGGGAGAGCGCAGCCAACCGCCTGGTAGGAAAGGTTTGTTTTCATTCCTCCTCTGTCATGTGCCGCAGTGTGGCTGATCGGAGCAGCACATTTGGTAACAGAGCCCTTGTCCCTTGAGGTTAAGAGTATGGTTACACTTGCAGCGGCAGCAGCTGCCTGAGCGTATCAGCAACAGGGGGGGAAGACAAATCCCCCCTCCCACCTCTTCTCCTCCTTTGCCAGTTTTATCATATATCACTGCTTCCTTCCTTCCTTCCTCCCTTCCTCCCTCCCCCGCTCTCTCTTTCTTTTTCTCTTTTCTCTGACCTCCTCACAGCTTCCCACCTGGTCACTCCAGAGTGCACACAGCGGAGAGTTTTGTCAGCCCAGCTCCGGAGGAGAATCCTTCAGCCACTGAGCAAAAGGAGAGCCAAGCAAGGACCGCTGGAAGCCAGAGCAGAGCAGAGCGGAGGGAAGCTGGTTGGTGCCAGCTCGGCTTCCATGTGTGCCTGCCCACCGATGCTAAACCGGCTGCTGCAGCTCTGAAGGAGGCTGACTGAGCATGTGGGACAAAGTTGCTCTCGGGAGTTGAAGGACTTGGGCTAGGAAGTCAAGAGCAACTTGCAGCGAGCTGGCTCCCTCCGGGCTCCTGTTAAATGAAACCACCTGAGGAACATGAGATTTCCTACTGGAGAGGGAGGGAGGATGCCAAGCCCGGTAAGGAGGGAGAAAGGCGCATTTTAAGTCTTCAGTGTTGTTTGCATTGAGTGGGGTGGGAGAGAGAGAGAAGGAGAGAGTGTCAAGAGTAAATGAGGGAGGGAGGAGAACTGATACGGGCACCTGATGCCAGCTGCAAAGATGACAGAGACCCTCCAGCTCCCGGCACTGCAAGTCCCGGAGCAGCAGGTGGCAGAGTGCGGCCACGCCTGGTCCAGTTCGTCCACGCCGACCCTGCGCCGAAGGCGGTTCAGGATGCGGCGCGCAAGGAATGTCCAGGATCCGAGCCTAGAGACTGCACCCTCCAGCAAGGAGTTCCTACAGCTCCCCTCCATTGAAATCACCCCTTCCAGCGATGAGGACACCCCTTGGTCTAACTGTTCCACGCCCAGCGCCTCTCCACGGCGCAAGCGCTTCCTTCTCCGTAAGTGGTTGAATGTGAGGGAGAAGAAGGAATGCAGTGAGAGCAGGTATGTTGCCTCCTTTCCCCTCTTCCCTTTCCACCTTTCCATCTATGAAGAAGAATCCTTCAAGAACTTGGGTCATGGGCCTTTCTGTTACTTGACGTGGTGCTCGCTTCGGCAGCACATATACTAAAATTCTGTTACTTGACGTGGTCCATGTTCCACGATGTCTCCCTCTACTGGCTAAACTAGTTGAAGTGGTATGCAGATTTGATACTTGTTGGGCATGGTTTTCTTAGTCCTTTATCTCAGACAGCAATGGAGCACTAAACAAAACACTTGGAGCAGTTTACAAATCGGGAATTCTTTGTAGTGCTTAGATGGGCTAATGATGGGCTTGCTTTCACCATGATGCTGATACCCTCATATTTAAACCATAGCCATGTGTTAAGTGTGTGTGTGATTCAGATATCAAAAGGGGAAAATTGACCACAATGACACATCAGTAAACTCTACCAGATTAGGGTCCTCTGTCCACAGATCACATCTTCAGGTAACAAGTAATTGGTAGCTGCATCTGTGGATGATGGTTCATATAGGCCTTTGTTCCCTGCACTGGAAATTTCTAATACAAGCATGTAATCATTAGAGGCCCCTGAGAGTTCTGCATAGCATAAGTCTCTGAGACATTTCTGGATTAAATATATGGTAAAAGGTAAAGGATAGTTAAGTCCAGTTGTGGACGACTCTGGGGTTGTGGCGCTCATCTCGCTTTACTGGCCGAGGGAGCTGACGTTTGTCCGCAGACAGTTTTTCTGGGTCATGTGGCCAGCATGACTAAGCTGCTTCTGGCGAAACCAGAGCAGCGCATGGAAACGCCGTTTACCTTCCCGCCGGAGCGGTACCTATTTATCTACTAGCACTTTGATGTGCTTTCGAACTACTAGGTTGGCAGGAGCTGGGACTGAGCAATAGGAGCTCACCCCGTGGCGGGGATCCGAACCGCCAACCTTCTGATCGGCAAGCCCTAGGCTCAATGGTTTAGACCACAGCGCCACCCATGTCCCATATTAAATATATGAGTTTACCTCAATTCCTCTTATTTTTTACAATTTGGCAACTAATTATTAAAAGTACCGGTAGCTAGTGAAAGCTGATGATCAAACAGTTTGAAACTCATTATGTTTACTTGGAAGTAAATCCTGTCTATTGCAATCAGATTTAATTTCAAAGAATTATGTGTAGGACCATAGCCTTCAAGAGATGCCTTGTCTGAAAAGCAAATTCCTTTTTCTGCTGTAACGAAGCTGTCAGTAACGAACTGTCCTTTGTTGATTAATCATCTTGCTTTATCACTTAATTAACATTAAAATATCACAGTAGCCATAACTAGGCAATATCTGAGGATGCTTAATGAAGACAACACAGCATCCCTTGATAGCTGCTATTAAATTCCAAATCAAATTCCACAATTTGTAATTAAATAGTTGATCAATTAATCCCATGTTACTCAATTGACTTTAATTCCCCCCGCTGCCCTTGTATAATTGTTTTGCATCAGCTACTTTTCTCTAACAATCAGAACTAGCAGCTTTTAAAAATAAACAAAGTGAAGATTCTTATGCCCTTGCATCAGCTGTAAGAATAAACATTCTATCAGATACAAAAGACAACTTGCTACTCCAAATACCTTGAGTGACTGATAAAGGGTGGAAATGGTTGTAAAGTGAAACACAGCAATGTATGAAGTGTGAAAGTTTATTTATGGCAGGAGAGGATGCAATATATTTGATGAAGAGTAGTTTATAACATCTTAATAAATATTAGAATATTAAAAATGCACACAAACATTGTCTTACTGGATCAAACCAAAGGGCCATCAAGTCAAGTGTTCTCTCCAACAGCGGCTAGCCAGATGTTTTCAGTTACCCTCAAAGCAGGGAATGAAGGCAACAGCTGCTTTCACATGGCAGTTGATTTCATTTCCCCAACATTTCCCTATCTGTTAATATCTGCATTACGTTTGAGCTTTTAGGTGACAAAAAAAGCATTTTCTGGAACTATACTAGAATATAGTGTAAGTTTAGTCCTCATTTCCATGTTGTTTGCTTCAACCAAAAAATACATTTACAAATAGTATTAAAATGAGTGCTAATCTTGTGCTATATTCCAGTATAATTTCATTGTCGTTCTGTAAGTGGTTTTTGCATTGTGCAGAAGCTTAAAAATCATGTTAGGGAAAAGTCAGGAAAATGGAATGAATGGCTGTGTGTATGTAACCTTGCAGTGCAGTCTGCTATATTCCTAGAAGTGGCTTTTACATTATGTGAAATCTCAGCTACAATGCAGAAATGAACAGTTAGGAGAATGGGGAAGATGAATGCCATCAAGGTCTTTTGCCTGTCAACCGCATCACATCTCCAGTGGTCCCCTGCCTCTACACAACCACAAGTATCTGAGAGTGTGGAGCTGTGCAAATGGCTGTGTGCTGATTAACAACTGCTCAAGTCGTTGTTCACCACAGTGCCCAACAACATTTTTGAAATGGCGTTTGGAAAAAGGCTAGTACATGGATTAGGAGTATTAACATACCAAGACCAGCACGACAACTTGGCTCTTCCTATATTGCAGATTCCAAATCCATCCTGTTGTTGCCATGGAAAATACATTTGGCTTTTCGCATGAAATTCCTTCTCTGTCCAACAATGATCTCTTCTGTAGAGGTTGCAACCTTCAGAATGGGAAGAGGATAACAGGAGTTCTCAGGGATGGAACTCAGGGAAGGAAGAAACCCCAGAGACTGTTGGTCTGGCCACAGAGTATTATCTCTGTAGTCAGCAGGAGCACATCGGAGGTAGCTTGTGGACATGCCCGATTTCATGACTTAAAGGAGTCTTAAGTTAAAGGTAAAGGGTAAAGGGGACCCCTGACCATTAGGTCCAGTCGTGACCGACTCTGGGGTTGCAGCGCTCATCTCGCTTTACTGGCCGAGGGAGCCGGCATACAGCTTCCGGGTCATGTGGCCAGCAGGACTAAGCCGCTTCTGGTGAACCAGAGCAGCGCACGGAAATGCCGTTTACCTTCCCGCCGGAGCGGTACCTATTTATCTACTTGCACTTTGACATGCTTTCAAACTGCTAGGTTGGCAGGAGCAGGGACCGAGAAATGGGAGCTCACCCCGTCGTGGGGATTCGAACCGCCGACCTTCTGATCGACAAGTCCTAGGCTCTGTGGTTTAACCCACAGCGCCACCCACGTCTTAAGTTAGCAATTGGTTAAATCTTCATAATTTTGCACAGGAAGAAAACAGTTTTCAAGAAAGTTATGCACTTTGTTTTTTATATCACTCATGCATAGCACATAGCAGATACCATCTTAAGAAGAGGCATTCCCTCCTTGTGTGGGAAAATTAACCAACCCTCTGTCACTCAGGGTTAGTTAATTATGGTAAACTTAACAGCCCCGGTCTCCTGGAATGGTGCACAAACCCCTTGCATCTTCAGGTGTCTTCTTCATTGTAGTTTCCTCAACTCTTTCCACAGGGCATCAGACACACTGTTTGGGGGAGTGTATGTCATGAATGGTGCATACAAAACTAACAGAAGGTTGAGTGTGACAGCTTTTCAGGGCTTAAGTACTGACACCATTCATGCAAAGCAGAATACAGCAGGTGCAATGGTGCCTCTGAGTCGCCCATCACTGGCTGGCAGTTGGAATCCCTTGAACACTTAGCTGCACTGGTAATGGGATTTCAGAATTTTTGCAGCAATGGTTTGTCCATCATTCCATCATTTATTCATTTGTGTAGTTCTGATGTTAAAATACGGTATTTCTTTTTATTTTTTAGTTTATTTCTTGTATTAATTACATTTGTATACTGCCCTTCATCCAAAGACCTCAGGATGGTTCGCAAACATGCTTTCTATACCAATTCCTGGGCATGCAGTTCTGTAGGAACAGGAAATGGGTCACTATGGGAAATGAATTGTCAAGTCATTTTCTTACCCATCTTCACCAAATTTGCCTTTATAAATAATACACTGACCAGCTTCTGTCAAGTGAGTAGTCAAGGCAACTGGAAAGCTGAAGTGAGGTAACGGTGACATCCCACAGGGGAAAAAATAAAGCAGCTAAGAAAAATGGCATACAAGATGTAGTATTTTCCATACCATGTTTTTGTTTTTTTGAGACTTAAAAAAAGTTAATTTATCTCTCTCTTGTGAGCCTGTGATCTGGAAACTTTTATAGAACCAAGGAAGACCACATGACACATTCTGACCAATAGTTGTTGAGGCTCTGTTGCTGGTCTGTCTCCTTTCTTTCCTTTTGGCTAGAGTTGGGTGGTGACAAACAGGAAGAATCTTTCCCCAGCATTCACCAGCTCCCCAGTACAGGATGACTGGATAGTGCTCTCCAGTTTTCTCTTCGAGGAGGGCAGC